AATGCCCAGGGGTACTGTTGTTGTGCTCCTGTTAACTGCCGTATCTTTAAAATCTGCCGCCACACGCACGTAATAACTTGTGTATTTGCATCCAGTTACTTAATTCAGATTTTGCTTTGTTGTTTTATTAAATTGGTGATATTCAAATATTTGCATTGATTCCAAACAGATGTGTAGGTTTTTGTGTTTGTTCGGTTGTAATATGTGTATGTTTGTCAAGTCACGAGTGTCCTTTTTTCATATATCTTAAGATGTTGGAAATGTAATATGTCCGTGAATAATAACAAGGTGGTTTTTGCGTTGAGGAGTAAATCTTTGCAGCTTCTTTCCTCCTTCGAGGGGGTGCCGTGCTCCCCCTCCAAAACAATTTTGTCTATTATTTCTTGCGCTCTCGAATCACACGCAGTGTATGCACTTGTATGAAAGAACGTCTTCCCGCCACTTTAAAAAAAAAACACAACGTAGGTTCCCATTTGTTAGACGATCACAGCCAAGGCCAAATTTTGAAATTTTTGAATTTTTCGCGGGCTTTTCAAACTTTTTCAAGGTCAATTTAAATGCGGGAAGTTTGGGTTATCACAAGGTGAAGAGCACCATCAGAAAAAAAAAAATAAGTAGACACCGTTCATGTAGTCTAGGAAGACAAGAAGAAAAGGAAAAAAGAAAAAAGGTAATAAAAGTTCGAAAAGGAATAGGACGAAACAGAAGAACTTCAACCATTATAAAAAAAAATAGGACAACAATTCGCAGTCCCGCGAAAACTAGTAAGATGAAAAACAAAGAAGAGGAAATGGAGCAAGTTTTAAAAATACTCGAAGAAATACAGGCAGATCTAAAAGATACTAAAAAGGATAACTAACCTCTTACGGAAGAAGTAACAAATTTGAGAAATGAGTTGGACGGAAATGAAAAAAGTGCTAACAAGAAAAAGAAGAAGTGCTGAATAAAGTGGAAGCTGTGGAGGACAAAATAAAGAAGGAACAAATAATGTAATATTTGGAAAACAGAAGGGAAAAAGGAAGAGCAGATCAGGAAAGAGATACCTGATTTTATCAATGAAAACGTAGAAAGTGATCTGAAAATTGGAATCAGCTTCGTTATCAACAATTGGTTCTAGCAGAGATGGAAAACAGAGAATGAATGAAAAAAATTGGCCGAAAGTTATTTCGACAGAACTTCCCTCGCCCCTGAAATACAATAAAACCTATCCAGATAAAATAAAGATATGTATCTATAATATTAAAGTAAATATATGTAAAGAAGCGTGCTGCGTGTATGTTTCAAAAGAGTTTCTCTTTTACAAAATTTTCTGATGAGGTAATCAATTTTTTAGAAGGGAGAAATAGATGTATTTTGATTACAAATTTACCAGATAATTCTAAAACACCTACAATATTTCAAAGCAGTCGGTCTTGCGGATTCAAAATTAAATTGCAAGATGTTATACAATTTTGATTTTTTTCCAGAATTCTGGTTGTTTCGAGAAAAAACTGTGCAATTTTGAGGTGACGCCATCATAATGTTGGTGGGGATGATCGGACAAAGTTTGGTTAGCGTTTTACCATCTACATTGTATTCGTAATATACATATAAAGTTTCATAACAATCAGTCCGGTAGTTTCGGAGATTCTATTTAACAAAAGTCAACGCAGACAGAGAGATAGACAGACGGAAACGGAATCGACAAAATATGAAATTAGCAAGTCGCCCGATGAACTCGATTACAATACTTCCTTAGCTTAAGCTCGGGAAGTAAAAATAATGAAAGGAAAACAAAAACTGACGAAGAAGATGCAGACAAAAACAATATAAGTAATATACCTAAAGATCGCACGAAAAAAGAAAAATAAATACAAACAATAAGGGTAGGAATAGCCGAAAAAAGTTAAAAAGGAGAAATTATTATAATAGGGGTAAGAAATGATTACCGAGAAATTAGTAGAACGAGTAATCAAAACGTCAAGGATTCAACAGTTAAGGAAACATGGATAATAGAAAAAAACCTTAGTAGGAAAGGAAATAAATATAAGAAACGGAGAAAGATTACATTTTAACACGGGGGACCTCAATATTAGAGTTAGAGACAAGGGTAAAACAATAATAGACGATGAAGAAAAAGGAACAAAAACAAAAACCAAATACATACAAAAAAGAAAATAAAAAGGGGACAGTACTACGACAATTTGCACAAGAAAAGAATGAGATTTTCTGAATGCGAATAAAACAGGTGATGAAGAAAGAGAATAGACAAAGTTAGGGGCAACTGGAGCAACAGTGATTGATTATGGAATTGCCAAGATGACGAGAAATAGCTGATCAACACAAGGAAGAAGAAAGGAAAAAAAGGGAAAAAGACGTATGTGAAACAGCTTCGAGAATTAAGGAGGGATAATAAAATACCAGAAGAGACTAAAGAGAAAGGATGGTGTGGCAACGGGAAACATAAATGAGATGGTGGAAGAACTGAGTCTAAGTGTGAATGATACAATAGAAACACATCGTGATTATGGAAGAGAAAGAAGAACTAACTGGTTTTATAGGAAATGTAAAGATTTGAAGAAAAATACGGTAAAAAATTGAGGGATTGGAGGCAACTAAAAACGAATATCTGAAAATAAGGAATAAGTTCTGAAGAAAATGCGAAGAAAGGAAAAAGCGGAAAAAAAAGGAAGGAGACAGCAGTTACAGAAGAGAACATTTTATTTTTAATTCCTGAGTTTTGCAGCAGGGTTCATTTTATGAATGGCCAATTTGATGTTTTTTCTAAATTTAAATTAATTTACTACTACTGCTACTGCTTTTTTGTAACAAGAATTTGTTTTGGTACACCAGTTGATTCATAGTAGTGTTTTGCTATAGAGCACGATGTTCAGATTCTCTTCTATAATTGTTAGAAATTCGTATTGGCTATTAGATTTGCCTAAGAACGGCGAAAGCAGCATCCTATATAAGATTGAACATTCTTAGCCCTCAATGTTTAAAAAAGTTACAAATTCTTCTACTATAAGAGGTACGTAGGTTCTATCATTTACATAAATAACGTAGTTGTTGATTATAGAATTTATTCTTGGATCATATCTGGTACAATCAGTGGCACGTACCATTTATGCAACTTAGGCCTGTCTCACAAATGGAAATTGTATGTGGAACGCCATGGAAATATATAATCGGACCACACGTTCCATTTTTACCTAGAATTAATACATTTTCAAAACGAAACAAACACAACATCAGAAAAATATACAACTTACTGGAAACTAGATAACATCGTCTGCAACATTCACAACCTTCTATGTACTCTCGACACGGACACCGGGTCTTAGGACCGTAAATACATTCGTTCCTACACTGATTAAATACTACTTCTGCCATTACCGCACATGCAAGAAACAAAGTACAGGAAAGTAACGTAGTGGACGTCATACTGGAAACACTGATGCACGGAAGACAAGTTCTAAACTGACAGAAAACGCTATTTAAGCTTATGTTTATACCGGCACGTCAGAGAATAGCAACACAATTTTAAAAATGTGATGATAATAAGTTATTTTTCGAATACCATCAACATGATAATTGTGTGCGTATGTAAATCACCAGAATTGTTGAAACATTTTTCTGTGCTACCAACATTTTTCAAATTTTGTGGTAAAGTACGAAACTGTTTTAATATTATCTATTCTAACATATTTAACATTTATAACGAAGGATTGTCGGAATTATCTTAAAGGTCGGTAGGATTCAGGCTGGATGCATTTTGTTATCTCCGTTTCCACAGCTACGGTTCCATGTCTTTGGGTTTGTATAGAGTATCATAAAATTCGAAAGACGCTTTTTCCACATTATCACAACCCTAAACGGTAGCAAAAGTTGCTGGTAAAGTGGATGAAAATTAGCCTTTTTAAAGTTGAAGTTGTTGTCAAAGTTGTCCATTTGAAAATCTTGAAAAGAGCGAAAGGAAATCTTGTTAATATTTATACATACAGGATGATGTAGATCTTCATCAACTAAAGGAGAAGAATCATCTATGAAACAACATGGGAAGGCTGACGAAAACCTAGATCCTTGTATGTTTAGTTTCGATATTCTGGGTTATTATGGTATTTATTGTTGAACGCCTTTTTAGATTGCTTGTGTCTTACATTTCTCAACATAGAAGTTCAGCCGAATGTCATCGAAAAACTGTTGTGTTAGATTTATTAGATTTTTCAACTGATTCGTACTTGCATATATTTTTATATCATTTATACATAGCAAGTGACTTAACCTACTTTCTGTTTGGTGTTAAAACCATAATTGTAGGAAAGAGGATTTAATGCCAAACAGAACCATGGCGGATAGAGGGTATCACATTGAAAGATTCCTCTTCTGATCATTATTGGATCTGATTGAATTGTTTGATCATTTAAGGTTATTTGAAGTGTGGTTTTCCAAAATTCCATGCATAGGCTTTCCGATAATCAGAAAAAGCAGTATATAGGTTTCTGTTTTCTTTTCTAGCTTGTCCACAGATGATAGAATCTATGATTAATTTTTGTTTTTCGTTGGTGATGTCGGTTTTAAAACCGTATTGAAGCTCAGAGATTGATTTAAGCTCAAAGGGTGGAATCAATTTATTTTCATATTAGTATATGTGTGTTGCAACTTTTACGTCAAAATTCTAAAAAATGTGCCTAATGTCTTACTTAAGACCCTTTAATCCAATTTATGACTACTGTTCGAATATGTTATCTATTTGTTAAAATTGGCAATAAACAACAATAATATTTTTATATAAATACTACGTTGACGCAAGAAAACAATGTATGATTGAGCAAAATTTTTGATACATTTTAATTATCTCAATGAACGTAGTTTTAAGTAGGAAACAACTGGCAATAAATGAAAATGCAGAGAGAATTACTACCATGACTTTTTAAAAATTTTTATTGCTAAGTTTATTTCCATGCGATAAGATGATAAAATTAAAAAATTAGCCTACATATATATGTCAAAATATTAGATAGTTAATATTGACACTTTCAGTTTTCACTAGTTTGTAAAAAATTAATATCGCAATGAAGATTATCCTTCTAACGTGGTTTGTTGTATTCACCTTGAAGGTAAATGAAAGATATAACAATACATTTCATTATCACTAATTATCCCACATTCTAGGCACCAGTCATTCATGGTAAAATTAAAATAATGCGATAACCGAAATTACCACAATGGAGTCTTATTTTAGGTAGCAAATCTCGCATTATTGGTGGTTCTCCGACCACAATTCATCAGTACCCATTTGCCGCAGCAATTGATGTTCAAACTCCTACCAGCAAATTCTTCTGCGGTGGTACCCTTTACACACGACAATTTGTTATAACTGCAGGTCAATGCGTCGACGGGTTGGTACCAAAATTGTATTTAGACAATAGGGTTTAAATATATTTTCAGAGCTATCTCATTCACAATACATCTAGGATCAGTCAGTCGATCGGATCCAAACCGCCTAACACTTTCCACGTCTGAGTACTTCTTGCATCCAGATTATAATCCCAACACTCTGGAAAATGACATTGGGTTGATCCAGTTTAGAATGCCTATAGACTACACAGGTAACGAAAATAGTTTTAAGGTTAGGAGAATGTTTGAAACTTGTTTCCAGATTCCATTCAGTCGATAAATTATTTGGCACTAGAACCCTTACCATCTTTCCACAGAGTAACAACCATTGGATGGGGGCAAACCAGCGATGGTAATTAAGTCTATATTATTAAATCGTAGGTACAGAATTTTGATTAGCTAGTTCTCAACTTCCTGATGTATTGAATGCCGTTTTTGTTATTCCTCTAAATAACAATGAATGCCAGGAAGTGTATGGAAGCCAGATTGTAGACAATATGGTTTGTGTGGAAGGTAATTACAACGAGGGAGCTTGTCATGTAAGAATATAAATAACAAGTGGTTCAAATAATTTATTGGTGGTATTTAGGGCGACACGGGAGGTCCACTTGTTGATACTTATTCACGGTACTACTCGGTCCATGTTGGGGTGTCGAGTTTTGTAAGTGGAAATGGTTGCGAGAGTACTGATCCTTCAGGGTACACAAGAACCTACCCCTATGTTGCATGGATACAGAATATTACTTCTTCAGTGTAGACGTCACGATTTTGTAAATCTGTAGTTTCTGTAGGTGTATCAAAAAATATATACCCTTCATTTTAAAACAGAACCATCTGTAGTACTGATTAAGATCTATAAAAATAATAATTTAACCAATAAATTTTTGTTAAATAAAATTTATATATACCGTCTCTCTTATCGTTTGTCCAGTCTACACTAAAGCTGCAACGTAGCAACATGAAGAAAATAATCACACTTTTAATTACTTATTTCGCATTGGCTCGTAACTCATATGAGGTAAAGTATCATCTATTCTCACAAAGTTACAATAATATTTTTAGCTACTCGCTGCGAAAAGTGTCGACTTTGAAACTAGAATAATCGGAGGGCACCCAGCTTTTACCGAACAGTTTCCCTTTGCAGCGGCGATTGAAGTTCAAACACCAACCAGCAAATTTTTCTGTGGTGGTACCCTTTACGGACGACAGTGGATAATTACTGCAGGACAGTGTGTTGATGGGTACATTTTCATTTCTGCTTAGAATTTATTCACACTGAGTTATCTTATAAGGGCGATTCTGTTCACAATCCATTTGGGTTCCATTAGTCTGGAGAAGGAAGATTCAGCACGTTTAACTTTGGCAAGTTCTCAGTACTACGTGCATCCGGAGTACAACGCGCAGACTCTTGACAATGATATTGGTCTTATTAAACTACGAATGGCAATTGAACTCACAGGTAGGTGTTATAAATTTAAAGTTATAAATTTGTAGGTAGTACTGAGTAATGTTTTTAAGATTTTATTAAACCGATTGCGGCGTTAGCGTTTTCTGATTTACCAGATCAGTCGTACCTGAGAATTATAGGATGGGGCCAAACTAGTGACAGTACGTTTCTAATTCGTCTTAATTTTTTTTAAGTATACTTTTTAGGCAACCCTTCGCTTGCTAGCCAGTTACAGTACGTTTATGTCTCAACACTTTCTAATCAGGAATGTAGAATTACATACGGAAATCAGCTAACAGACAACATGGTTTGCATTGAAGGAAATTATAACGAAGGCAGCTGTTATGTAAAAAATGTTTTGTTGAGTATACTTTTCAATTTTATAACTCTTTTTTTTTAGGGTGATACTGGTAGTCCCTTGGTTGACGTTTACGGTAAATACGAATTAGTTCATGTTGGTTTAGCTAGCTTTGTAAGTGGAAATGGTTGTGAAAGCACGGATCCTTCTGGATATACAAGAACTTACCCATATGTAAACTGGATTAAAAATATAACGTCTGTTTAAATAAATTTGTTTAACCTGGAACTCTTTGTCTTATTTTTCTGCGATTTGTAATAAAAACTCAAAGTTTCACAGTTTCTCTTAGAAATTATAACCTCAATTGGTGTGAAATTTCGTACACACTTTAAGGTTGTTGTGACCATAACAATTTGTTTATCACAGATGATCTATTTAGTTTTTCTAAAAATTCGACAAAGTCATATCAAAATTTTGCAGAGCCAATTTCATTTATAATGTTCGGAGTTTACTTTTTGATCAAAATGTATTTGCTCATCCCCCCTAAATAATTGATGACGTCACCCCAAAATCTTGCTGAATAAATCCAATCTAAAGTGTACAAAATATGATGAGTCTGTACTTGTGATTTATCATTTCATTCATATTTTTTTTATTTGCATATGCAGGGTGACTCAAAAAAATCAATGATTGCGTGAATGTATTTTATTGATTTAATCAGAAATTATAAAACCGAATGGTTTGAAATTTTGGAGATGTTTTAAGGTAATTATAAGAATGGTAAATTTTTTATCAAAATGTATATGCTCATCCCCCATAAAAAACTGATGACGCCACCTCAAAATTTTGCTCAAAAAATCCTATCATAAATGTGTAAAGTATGATGAGTCTATGCTTGTGACTTATCACTGCATTAAACATTTTTATTTAGATTTTTTATTAGATTTGCTTATACGGAGTGTCTGAAAAAAATTAATGACTGAGTCAATTTATTTTATTGATGAAATCAAGAATTGCAAAATTGAATATGTACTTTGAAATCTTGACGTTGTGCAGTTATTATAGTAACTTTTTAATCAAAATGTTTATCACCCCAAAAAATTGATTACGTCATCTTAAAATTTTGCCGAATAAATTCTTTCGAAAATGTGCAAAATATGATCAGCAACGGGCGGAATAATCGACGGATCCAGTGCTGCCGCGTCGATACTTTGATTACAATTATATTTTTCTTTTGGACTATATCAACATAATATAACATTTCAAGATCATAAATCTGTGCCCTGTGGTTGAAAAATTAATAAGGGCACCGAGTATTATTATTTGAAGTAGTATAGTAATATAGAAGTAGTTTTTTTACTAGCTGTAAACACTTCTAGAGATGCACTGGCTACGACCTTCTGGACCAGATCAAAGGGTCCCCGCTACTCGCCGTAAAACGCACCTTGCTTCAACTGGGGAATTGCATCCGTAAGATAAATTTCCGCGTACTGATGATCAGACTATACTTATAACTTATCATTTTGTGGCGGCACAATAATACCTAGAAGTAAGCGAGGACAGATAAGCTCCTCCGTAGTCTAGTGGTAAGGGCACTTGCCCGGCAAGCGGTAAACGTGTGGTTCGATTTCCACCGGAGAAGCAACATTTTTTTTCGCTTACCTACAATTTCATTCAATTTTTTTTGATTTGCTTATACAGGGTGACAAAAAAAATGAAGCAGTCACACGTTCGGGCAAAATAGTTTATATAAGCATTTAGACAAAACAGTGACCGGAAACTGGAGACGATGACGATACGATGCAGTTGTGAAGCCAAATTTGCTCGATATTTCATAAGGCCATAGTTAGGGGGAGGCTGGGGGATGCTCCCCTAGATTTAGACAAGTTATAATTAACCAGATGTGAATTACAGCATCCAAAAACTAAATAAAATGTAGTGTTCTATTCAATAAACGGAAGTCATAGCAATAAATATCTGAACCGTTGGTATTGTCACAAGTTATTGCAATTCGTAGAAACCATATTTCAGTTTAGTTTGTGTTTCACAGGTTTTACGGGTTGATATCAGTCTTATGGCTATTTATCTTAAAGTGCAAGTATTATACAGGATGTTCATTTTATCTATTCACGCCTGACAATTTTTGTCTAGGGAACATATTATACACGTTTCTGATAGGGGGGGAAGTACTGTCTAGACTCTTTAGACCAATTTTACCAAAATTAAATTGCAAAATGTTGTTATACAATTTTGATTTTTTTTCCAAAAATTTTGTTGTCTTGAGTAAAAACTCAACACGGATTCATAAACTACACGTGTAGCAATATGTTATTTACTATGTACAATTTCGAGGTGACGCCTTCATGTTGTTGCTGGCTATAATCGGACATAGTTTGGTTAGCGTTTGACCATCTACATGATATTCGTTAATATACATATACAACTCCATAACAATCAGTTCGGTAGTTTCGGAGATTATCTGTCTAACAAAAATCAACATAGACGGCGGACAAACAGACAGACAGACAGACAAACAGGAACAAAAGGCGTATTTTTTCGTACTCTAGGAGTGATGATCCATCGACAAAATATGAAATTAGTCAGTTTTCTGATGAACTCGATTACAATACTTCCTTAGCTTACGCTTAAGTAAGAATGGAAGGAAAACAGAAACTATTGAAGAAGGTACAGACAAAAACGATATAATATATATATAGTAACCTCACGAAAAAAGAAAGAGAAATACAAACAATAGGGATAATTGCCAAAACAAGTTAAAATGGAAGTACTATAAATTGATAGTGGGTGTGAAAGTATGGAAATGTGACGAAATAGAGAGGGTGTGAATGGTTCTTCACTAAAAAAAGAAAAAGCAAAAGGAGGAATTATAACAGGGGTGAGAAATGATTACTAAAAAATTAATAAAACGAATATTTAAAATGTCAAGAATTCAATAGTTAAAGAAAAATAGATAATAGAAAAAAAAGGGAAAAAGGTGTGTGTGAAACAGCTTTAGAATGAAGGAGGAGTAATAAACTAACGGAAAAGACTAAAGACAAAGGATGGTGTGGCAACAGGAGACATAAATGAGATAGTGGAAGAACTGAGTCTAAGCATGAATGATGCAATAGAAACACATCGCGATTATAGAAGAGAAACAAGAAATAACTGGTTTTACAGGAATGTAAAGATTTGAAGAAAAATACAGGAAAAAATTGAGGGATTCAAAAAACGAAAAATTGTAAAATCCAAAAAGTAAAAAGTCGAGAAAACGAAAAATCCAGAACGTGAAAAATCCAAAAGTCGAAATACTAAAAAATCCCAAAATTGAAAAATTGAAGACTCGAAAAACTGAGAAAACTCACAAAATTGAGTTTATCTTTTTTTAAATATCCAAAAATTGGAAAATTAAAAAATTGAAAAATTGGGAAACCGAAAAGCCGAAAAATTGCAAATCTAAAGAATCGAAAAATTCAAAAATCTGGAACCTGAAAAATCGATAAATTGAGGAACTGAAAAACTCAAAAATCGAAACCTTGGCAAGTCGAAAATGGGAAAATAAAAAAAACGATGAATTGAGAAATCGGAAAACTGAAAATTCAAAAACGTTAAAACTTGAAAATTTAAAAAATAGGAAAATTCAAAAACTGAGACAATCAAAACATCGAAACATCCGAATCTCGATAAATCGAGTTCTCAATAAATTGAAAAATCGAAAAATACAAAATTCGGAAAAAAGAAAAATTAAAATATATAAGAACTGAAAACTCGAAAAATTCAGAAATCGAAATATATATGAAACAGTCGAAAATTGAAAAACCTAAAGTTTAAAAAATGAAAAACTGAAAATCCAGAAAATAAAAAATCGAAAAGTCGAGAAATAGATATATTGAAAAATCCCAAAACTGAAACAAATATCCAAAATTGAGAAATTAAGAAATTAGTCAACCGAAAAATCCAAAAATCGAAGAATTGAAGAACTGAAAAATCAAAACTGCGAATTCAAGGAACGGGACAATAAAAAAAAATATATTAATTGAAAAATCGGAAAACTGAAAATTTAGCAACGTTAAAATTTGAAAAATTGGAAAAGAGAAATAATGAAGAACTGGAAAATCAAAAAATCCAGAAATAGAAAAATCTAAAATTTAATAAACATTGAAAAATTGAATAATGGAGAAACCCAAATATCAAAGAATCAAAAAAAAAAAAAATTCGAAAATCTAAAACTTAAAAATCGACAAACCGAACTCCAGAATTTAAAAAAAAATGAAAAATCGGATAATTGAAAAATCGAAACATCGATAAATTGGAAAATCGAAAAACCGAGAAATCCAAAAATCGAAACATCGAAAAGTTGAAAAAAAAAGAGAAATTGAAGTATAAAACTGGCGAAAATTTGAAAAATATGAAGTTTAACGAAAAATTGAAAATCCATAAAAAAAGGGGTGGATACCCAAAGACTGTAAACTAAAACATTTTAAAATTGGAAAATCGACGAATTGGAATCGATTGGCCTGAAAATTTGAAAAATTGAATAAACGAAAAATTGGAAAATCGAAAGAAACAACAAAAATTAAGGAAATGAAAAAACAAAAAAATGTGATATAAAATCGAGAAAATGAAAAATAAAATATCAGGAAAATGCAAAATAAAAATCGGGGAGTTGAAAAATTGAGGGGACGAAAAATTGAAAAAGGGAAAAATTAAAAATCGAGAATGTGAAAAATGGAAAAATGAGAAATTGTAATATTGAAAAATTGGAAAATTTATAAGTCGGCAAATTGTAAAATTCAAAAATGATAAATAAAAAAACGAAAAACTATAAAAAAAACTTGAAATACGTAAAAAGTGAAAATCAAACGTGAAAATTCGAAGAAAAATTGAAAAAACCTGAATTATTGAATAAACAAAAAATTGTAAAATCGAAAGAAACAACAAAAAATAAAAGAAATGAAAAACTAAAAATTGTGATATAAAATCGAAAAAGTGAAAATTAAAAAATCTGGAAAATGAAAAATTAAAAAGTGAGAAACTAAAAAATCGAAAAATCAACAACTGTAATATTGAAAAATTGCCAAATTGAAAAACTGATGCAAACCGAAAAATTGAAAATTTTGGAAGTCGAGAAATTGTAAAATTGAAAAATCAAAATTAAAAAACGAAAAATTACAAAATGAAAATTTGAAAAATCTTAAGAATCGAAAAAGTGAAAAATCAAAAAAACGAAATATGTATTATGAAATAGAAATATTGAAAATGAACGAAATTGTAAAATCGGAAGACTGGAAATCCAAAAACTGCAAAGAAAAAAATTTTAAAATTGAAAAATGGACGAACTGAAAATTCAAAGCCCGAAAATTTGAAAAATTGAACAAATGAAAAATTTTAAAATCAAAAAAAAAACAGAAAATAAAGAAATGAAAAAGCGGACAATTGTGATATAAATCGAGAAAATAAAAATTAACAATTCGCTACATTGAAAAATAAAAATCGGAAACATGAAAAATTGTGGAAACGATAAATGGAGAAACTGAAAATTCGAAAAATTGAAGAAACGAACAATTGAAAAATCGAAGGAAACAGCAAGAAATAGAGGAATTGAAAAAATGAAAATTTGTGACATAAAGTCGAGAAAATGAAAATTAAAAAAATCTGGAAAATGAAAAATTAAAATCGAGAACTTGAAAAATTGAGGAAACGAAAAATTGAAAATGACAAAAATTAAAAACTGAGAATGTTGAAAAGTCGAATCATGAGAAACTATAATATCGAAAAATTGAAAAATTAAAAAATTGCAACTCGAAAATTGAAAAAATTTAGAAGTCAAACTGTAAAATTGAAACATCAAAAATTAAAAAACCAAAAAGTATATAATGAAAACTTGAAAAATGTCAAGAGTGAAAATCAAACATGAAAATCTGAAGAAACGAAAATTTGAAAAATCGAAAGATTAAAAGTTGAAAAACTTACAATTCGAAAAAGTGAAAAAAAAAGAAATATGTATTGTAAAATCAAAATATTGAGAATTAAAGAAATTGAAAAATTGGAAGACTGGAAATCCAAAAACTGCAAATTGAAAAATTTTAAACGTGGAAAATCATGGAATTGAAAAATCAAAAAATGAATAATAAATAAAAAATTGTAAATCGAAAGAAACAAAAAAAAAAAATAAAGGAAATAAAGAAACCAAAAATTGTGATGTAAAATCGAGAAACGTGGAGAAAACATAGTTGGATCTTTTCACTGCATTATCAGCAAAAAAATCTCTAAATCTGACAAAACTGAATATGTTATACCGGACTTCAAGAGCGAGGAAAGTACTGTCTAAATAACTGTAGACCAATTTTTATAACTCAACAATTTACATAGAGTATCAAAAATAAAACACCGGTAGCTTTCGAATAATTTTGAATGTATTGTGCTATTTTTTTTTTAATTCCACCAGTATTTTCTATTTTGACAAAATGACGAAAGAATCCAAACTTGGAGAGTTATACAAAACGAGTAAAATTTGAAGCCTCTTATTAAAAAACGTATTGATGCAATCTGTTGAGAAAGGTTCGTTGTAAACACCTCTTTTTTTAATTTTTTTCGCACTACAAAGTGTGTGTTGTAACAGCAATGTAAATGTCGTCATTTTTGCATGTTTCTATTTTTTTTTACACAGAAAACAGAACTGAAAATCAAATTTTAATATAAGAGGGACAAAATATGTCTAATAAGGATTGTTAAGAAAAAAAATGATCGTCTTAAGTCAATTTCTCTCGTTTTTACAGGAGATTTCAAATGGGATGAAAACTGTCCCAAATCACGCCTTTTAAGGTGATTCCAATGAAAAAAGCATTTAATGCCAAACAGAACTATAGCGGGCAGAGGGAATCATATTGAGAGATTCCTCTTCTGATCATTATTGGATCTGATTGAATTGTTTGATCGTTTAACACGTTAAGCTTATTTGAAGGGTGATTTTCCAAAATTCTATTGAATATTTGCATATTACTTAGTATTTGTATGTTGCAACTTTTGCGTCAATATTTTGAAAAATTTGCTCAATGTCTTACTTAAAACCACTTAATCCAATTTATTGCTACTGTTCAAGGATGTTATCTATTTGTTAAAATTGGTAATAAACAACAATAATATTTTTATATAAATACTACGGTGACGCAAGAAAACAGTGTATGATTGAGCAAAATTTTTAAATTTTAATTATCTTAATGAAGGTAGTTTTAAGCAGGAAATAATTGGCAATAAATGTAAAAGCGAGAATTACTCCATGACTTTTTGAAAACTGGATTACTAAGTTTACTTCCATGAGATAAAACGATAAAATTAAAAAATTAGCTTTCGTATATATGTCAAAATATTAGATAGTTAATATTAACACTTTAAGTTTTCACACGTTTATAAAAAATTGATATCGCGATGAAAATTATCCTTCTAACTTTGTTTGTTGTATTCACCTTGAAGGTAAATGAAAGACACAACAACAAATTTTATTATCACTAATTATCATCATACATTCTAGGCACCAGTCATTCATGGTAATGCTAAAATACTCCATAGCCGAAATTACCACACTGGTGTTTTATTTTAGGTAACAAATCCCGCATCATTGGTGGTTTCCCGACCACAATTAATCAATATCCATTTGCCGCAGCAATTGATGTTCAAACTCCTACCAGCAAATTCTTCTGCGGTGGTACTCTTCACACGCAACAGTTTGTTATAACTGCTGGTCAATGCGTCGACGGGTTAGTACCAAAATTGTATTCAAACAATAAGGTTTAAATATATTTTCAGAGCTGTCTTATTCACAATACATTTGGGCTCCATAAGTCGATCGGATCCAAACCGTCTAACACTTTCCACATCTAAGTACTTCTTGCATCCAAATTATAATCCCGCCACTCTGGAAAATGACATTGCGTTGATCCAGTTTAGAATGCCTATAGAGTACACAGGTAGTAAAAATGATTATGAGAATAGGACAATATTTGAAATTGTTTCTAGATTCTATTAAGCCGATACCTTATTTGGCACTAGAACCCTTGCCGTCTTCCCGCAGAGTATCAACAATTGGATGGGGGCAAACTAGCGATGGTAAATAATTTTACAATATTAAATCTTAGGTACAGAATTTTGATTAGCTAGTTCTCAACTTCCTGACGAAATGACTGCCGTTTTCGTTGTTTCTCTAAATAACAATGAATGCCAGACTGTGTATGGAAACCAGATTGTAGACACTATGGTTTGCGTGGAAGGTAATTACAACGAGGGAGCTTGTCATGTAAGAATATAAATCACAAGTGGTTCAAATAATTTATTGGTGGTACTTAGGGTGACACGGGTGGTCCACTAGTTGATATTTATTCGCGGTACTTCTCGGTTCATGTTGGGGTGTCCAGTTTTGTGAGTGGAAATGGTTGCGAAAGTACTGATCCTTCAGGGTACACAAGAACCTACCCCTATGTTGCATGGATACAGAATATTACTTCTTCGGAGTAATATTTAATTTTTAATGTATATTCGGTCAAAAAGTATTTTTATGAAAGTTCGAATTGCAGTCCTCCTTTGTTTACTTTTTAATTAGCATTAATAAATTGTAAACAGTAATAAACCAACGAAATTATCACTGAATTAAGCTATCACCTTCTCGTCAGACGCATTAAAGATTAATATTTTTACAGAATAGGCATTAAAATATTTATCGTTAGTCTGTTAATAATTTTTGGAACAACTTTATTATTTTACAATACCCACAATTAAACAAACATATGTTATAAAAAAATTGCGACTATTACTTTTTCAGAAGCTCCACGTTTTGACAAATTATTAAACCATGAAGTTAATTTTCTTGTTTATATTTTTGTTAGGAATTTCAAGATCAGAAGAAGCAGTAAGTTACAAGGTACCTTAAGTGGAAATACGTCTTAAAAGTGTGTTTTTTAGCACTCTAATTCTCGCATTATTGGGGGAGAAACTGCTCATATCAGTCAGTACCCCTTTACTGCTGCCATTACTGTTCAAACCAATACCGGTCGATATTTCTGCGGAGGTGCACTATATTCACAGGAATGGATAATAACAGCAGGACAATGTGTCGACGGGTAATATAAATAATAATAATAATATGTACCATTTTGTTAAAATAATTTTTATTTTACAGGGCAATACTATTTACTATTCAGTTAGGTTCCACCAAACTAACAGAAGAAGATCCAAATCGGCTAACTGTGGCCACGTCTGAATATGTTCTGCATCCAGAATATAATCCGCTTACTCTGGAGAATGATATAGGACTTATTAAGTTACGAATGCCGATAGAGTTTACAGGTACTTAGCTAATTAGTATTTTTACATCACTGAAAATGTTTTCTTCGTTTCTATTTTTTAAGATTATATTAGACGACTTCTTCCTCTGGCATTGCATGAACTACCAGCCAAACCCGATCTTCGAAGTATTGGATGGGGACAAACTTCTGATTGTAGGTATGGCACATTATTAATACGTGCAATAACAGTTTTTTTTCAGCAAATTCTTCACTGTCTGAAGATCTACAAGTTGTAAGAGTAGCTTCTATAACAAACGATGAATGTAAGATTGTATATGGAAATCAAATCACTGATAAAATGGTTTGCGTTGTTGGTAACTATAATGAAGGTGCTTGTCATGTAAGTTAAATAGTAATGTTGCGAAACAAGTATTTGAAAATAATTTTCAGGGCGATGTCGGAAGTCCCTTGTTGGATGCTTACAGTAGATATACTGCGATTCATGTTGGAATTGCCAGTTTTGTAAGCAGTAATGGCTGCGAATCAACTGATCCGTCAGGATATACCAGGATTTATGGATATGTTAACTGGATTACTGAAGTTACTAGATAAAAATGGTATCCTTATGTAAAATAAAAGTTTGAAGAAAGTAATTTTGCTGTTTTACTCCATTATTACTTCCTAAGAGGCATTCTCTTGAATTCACTTTACAAAGTTACAACATCTGTGAACACACTGGACATAGCAATATAGTAATTTTGAATATTTAAAAAGTTATCCGGAAGTTTGTGTCATAGTTATCAAAAATAATGTTTTTATCTCGCTTCATTTGCATCAAAATGTATCAAAACTTACATCGAAAGATGTTGTGTCTTGGATTTGGAAAAATACTTATAGGAGGGGATAGATAAAGAAACGGGAGAGAAAAGAGGATCAAAAGATAAAGCAAATAAAAAAGAAGGGAAAATATTGTGGCAGATAATAGAAGAAATGGGATGAGAAATTTTGAATGGAAACAAGGAAGGAGGACGTACGTAGGGGCTAGGGGAGAATCAATTATAGACTATGGGATTGTCAACGAAGAGGCGTGGGAAGAAATAGAGAGTTTCAAAGTGGGGGAAAGGGTAGAATCAGACCACATGCCACTAGAAATAAAAATCAAAGGAAAAGAGCAAGAGTACGAAAAACAAGAGAGAAGAAACGAAAGAAAAGAAATAGAGGAAAGAATATGGGATGAAGAGGAAATTCAAAGATACAGAAGTAGACTAGAAAAATAGAAATTCGAAGTGAAAGAAGATATAGAAGCTATGATATCAGAACTGAGCAACCTAATTTTAGAAGCTACGGTAAAAAGAAAGATATACATATGGCAAGGGAGGAATAATGGATGGAACGGAGAATGTAGTAAGTTGAAGAGAAAAGCAAGGAAAAAATTAAGAAAATGGAAGAATAACAAGGGAAGGAAAGAAGAGTACCTAAAAGCAAGAGAGAATTGTAGTAGAAAATGTGAAGAAAGAAAAAGAGAAAAACGAAAAGAAGAAGGGACGACAATAAAGTCCCTGAAAACAGAAGAAGAAGTATGGAGATATAACTATAAACAAGGAACGGAGAAGTCAGCAGGAAAATCAAAATACATGAATGAAGGTTGTGAGGAAAAATGCTGCAAAATAAATAAAGGAATCACAACGACTGAAGAAATGTGGAGAGTTTCGGAAATAACAAAAGATGAAATAGGAAGACAGATTGAAAGACTGAAAAGAGGAGGAGGGGATGGAATCCAGAACGAAGCGTGAATGTTCGGGACAGAAGGAGTGAAAGAAAGGATATGGGAAGCGGTAGATGGAGCTTGGAAGGTAAAAGGGTTTCCTCGGCAATGGAGAGAAGGTATAGTAATCCCATTATTTAAAAAGGGGCAAAAAGTGATGTGAAGAACTACCGAGGGATCATCTTGCTCAATACGGCGTACAAGATATACGCAATGATACTAGATGAGAGGTTACGAAAGGAGATGGAAGCAAGGGGTATGTTCTGGATTCTGGATTCTTAATTTATGCTGGCTGACCGTAGCCAGCCGGCACTTAGGCCTCGTCTTTGGGCCCATTGTATCTTCCCCAAGTCCATATCAGGGTGTTTTCCCTCTCCTCTACTAGTTAAGCCACCCACCTGCTTGAATGTACTTGTGTAATGCAGAGGGTGGAAACTCCCTGATATTTGCCATACTAGGCCAGATGTCCCCTAGTATGGATTCCCTGTAGGAGGTTAGGGCTGGACACTCACGAAGAATGTGCTCAGCTGTTTCCTCTTCTTCTTTGCATCCACGACAGATTGGGTGTGTTACCACCCCTATCGTATGTAGATGTTTGTTAAACTGGTAATGTCCCGTAAGGAATCCTACCAGTTTACGTAGTTTGTCTCTTGAAAGTGAGAGATAAAATTTCGTCAACTTACGGTCTGGTGTCGCCATACAAGCTCTACCATGCCGACAGCTGCTCAACGTCGCCCATATCTGCTCATGGCGTCTATGGGTATATTGCTTTACGAGTTCGTTCGAGAGGGCGACCGAAGGCGTGATTGCCGGTTCGGGTCCCCAGAAGGGCATGCGCGCGGCTCGCTTCGCCATCTCATTTGCCCTCTCGATTCCTTCGTTGCCACTGTATCCTTTGATCCAACAAAGTTCCACTCTATTCCTCTGCGTTACATACTTTAGCGTTTGTCTGCACTCCCAAACCAGCCCGGATCGAACCATACAGCTGTCCAGGGCTAGTAGTGCAGACTTGCTGTCAGTAAGTATGCGTATTGATTTGTTGCCGATTTCACGTTCAGCAACGATTTTAGCTCCCAGCATTATTCCCATCAGTTCTGTTTGTAAGACAGACGTGTGGGTGCCGAGAGGTACACTGATTTGTGCGTTCAGTTGTTCGGAGTAGATGCCGGCTCCTGAACCACTATCTGTTTTGGCACCATCAACATAGATATCGATGTCGGCTCTTCCTTCTAAATTATCATTCATTGATATTCTATATGTCTTCTCATATATTAGTTTTGTGCCCATTCGGTCACAACCCATTCTTAACAAGGGTATTCTGTTGAACGCTTCCGTTAAGATTCGAGTGTGCTTCGTTGTGCGGCCTTGCTTGTTCCATACTCCCAGAGAGTGAAGTCTTAGAGACGTCCTCATTGCCGCTTCCTCTATGTAAAGGTTAAGAAGTGCTAAGCAAAGAAGAGTCTCCAGAGCCGCTGTGGGAGTGGTCCTCATTGCTCCTGAGACACGCCATTCTCTGAACGTGTTCAAGTTGCAGGGCTGTTGTTTTTTGTCTGGCTCTGGGCCACCAAACTAAAGCTCCATAGCACAGCATCGGTCTGACTATTGCCGTGTAGATTCAGAGAGCGATCTTGGGATTTAAACCCCACGACCTTCCCACCACCCTACGACATTGCCAAAGAGCCGAGCGTGTTTTTTCCACTTTATCATCACATGCTTCTTCCAATTCAGTCGCCAGTCCAATACAACTCCCAGGTGAGAGAACTCCTCCCTGAGGACATCCCCTGCCTACAACAGCCTCGATCTCAGTGCCACCTACATTAATCAGTACTTTCCTATTCCTCAGCATACCGGCCACCCACCTACTTAGGGTGGGGTCTACGTCGTGCTCTCGTAGGGCTTTTGAAGGTCGTTTTATCAAACGCTCTTTCAATATCCAAAAACATTACAAAAAAGGAATTGGAATTGAATGTGGAAAAAACAAAAATGGTGGTGTTTGGGAAGAAAGTAAGAAAGGAGAAGGAAGAGTGGGCATGGAGAGGGAAGAATATTGAACAGGTGAAATAATTCCAGTACTTAGGATATACATTAAAGAGCAATAACGCAGATAGAGCGCATAATCAAGAACTGGTCCGAAAAGCGAACAAAGTGATAGGAATAGTGTGGGGAATAGGAGAGAGAAAATTTAGAAATGATTATAAGAGAAGAATTATGATGTTTGATAGTATGATCAAAAGTGTATTTATGTAGAAAGCTGAGATTTGGGAATGGAGGGAATATGAAGAAATAGCGAGATTGCAAGAAAAATACCTGAAACGGACATTAGGATTGGAGATGTATACGCCGAGGTACATAGTTAGAGAAGAAACAAAAAGGGAGAAAATGAGAGTGGAAGCGGGTGAAAGGGCGGTTGGATTTGAAGAGAAGTTTAGTGAGAGAGAATGTTGTTAAGAAATAAGAAAGGAAGGTGAAAAACTTGTTTAGAACGAAAGAGACAAGTATTGTGAAGGAAAGGGATATGCATATGAAGAAATAGAGAGAATGAGAGAAATGGGAAGGAGTATGAAAGAAGAACTGAGTGTAAGAGATAAGGATAAATATAAGCAAGAACGCAGATCGAGAATATCGGAGTCTAGATATAATGTAGAGTATAGAAAAATAGTAAAGCATGAAGTACCAAAGTACATACACAGAGAGAGTATAAAGAAGAAAAAATGATGGCGAGATTTAGGTGTGGAAATGAAAAGAAAGAGAATAATTTTTGGATGGATGAAACTGACAGAAGGTGTAGGATATGTTAGAGAGAGGGAGAAACAATAGAGCATATGCTGGAACGATGTGAAAGATTGAGAGAATCGGAAGAAAGTAAGGAAGAAGTGCTAAACGAGGATGGAAGAGGACTTGACTGGATGAAAGAAGTGCGGAAGATAAGGGGACTATCGCAAGGGGTGGGCAAGCGGAAAGAATAGAACATTTATAATATAAAACAGAAAACTTGTGGACGCTTCTCATTTCCTTGGTTGATAACATTTCTAATGGCTACTCCAATAGCAAACCCACTTCGCTAACTCTGCTTGACATGTCCAAAGCATTTGGTAGCGTCAATATATCTCTGTTGGTGACCAAACTTAAGTATTGTGGCGTGTATGGAACCACCTTGGACTGGTTCCAGAGGTACTTAATTTAGTTAGCCGACTGTAATGTTCAGAAATCAGACATGATGGCCTTACGGGTTCCCCAAGGATTGGTCCTTGGACCTATTCTATTTTCTTTATATTCTGCCGACATAGTGAAAGTTATTAAACATTGCAGTGTACACATGTATGCAGATGATCTACAACTTTATCTTACTTTTAGTCCTAAAGAAACTGAAACGTGTGTTAACCTTATAAATAGAGATAGCCAACTGAAGTTTGTGGAACATGCGAAAAAATCTGTTTATTCTTTAAGTAAATAAGTCCTTATAGGTTTTATCTGGATATTAAATCTAAAAAACGGCTCTCAGATGCTTCGATTTTATCTCATTTAAATTATGCTGATACAGTCCTTGTCTATCTCAGGTGCAAAAATATCGGCTACAGAAAATTCAAAATCTATCTACATATATTTATAACTTCATAACAAAATTTTTTATTGAACAAATTAAAAACGAGTCACCTCATTTTCTCGAAAAGGTGAGAATAGTCACGTGTTTATTTACTAAGAATTAAGTGTAATAACGATATTTACAACATCTGTTCGACTGTGGCTTAATAAACAATTTAAGTTCTCTATTTTGAGGCGACAAACTCTTCCGATGTATAAACAAATACTTGAAGTTAAAGCTTGTTATTATTGCTGAGAGGCCATTCTTAGTTAATTAAATGGAACATAATAAACTCCAGATTGTTTTAATTGAGGGGTCCCTTGACCAGCCTGGCCATTTAAAATTTTTGACTTGAGATCTGAGAGGGTAGAAGGCAAGTTTCTCAAATTAGACATAGAAAATAACAACTATGTTATAACAGAAAGTAGAAATTTTAGAAACATTTCTTTGTTTTAATGGCTAATACCGCCGAATAAAAATTAGCAGATAACAACTGAGCCTCTAAATTCTATAACCTTATGACGAACTTTGTTGATTTTAAGATAAGACGTCCACAACTAAGCTAAGATGACTACAATATTTTTACCGATATATTATTTCGAATTTTAAAAATTGTAAAGTCATTAACAAACGATGACACGCCACATGCTGATATTTTTTTCGCTCTTGATAGTACAAAACGTTCCGGTATAAAATCATATACTCTGAATATTTAAAATTTCCTTTTTGTTTTGTTTTAGACAAAAGCTTCTCTTTACCATGACCAATCGTCTGGTAAGTAAATCAAATTTCACCCTCCGAATACAAGAAAACATTTTATATAGAGAAAAGTGGTCGTATAATAGGTGGTATTGATGCCCATATTGCTGTATTCCCTTTCATTGCGGCTGTTAACGTTCAAACGTCAAACAGCAGATTTTTTTGTGGAGGAACTCTTTACTTGTCTGAGTGGGTCATCACAGCTGGTCAATGTGTCGACGGGTAAGATTACAAATCACTTTTATCTAAGTAATAGTTGTAACATTTTTGTCCTAGGGCTGTGTTATTTACAATAAGTTTTGGTGCAGATACTTTGGAAAATGAAGATGACAGTCGAGTGACAGTAGCTACATCAACGTACTTTCTGCACCCAGATTACAATCCACAAACTTTGGAAAATGATATTGGTATCATCAGACTACGTATGCCTATAACACACACTAGTAAGTTAAGGAAAGAAGACAATAAAACAGTCATCATTGTGTAACTAATTATTATGTTACGTTTTAGATTACATAAAAGCGATTGAAACCCTAGCAACTACAGATCTTACGATTGGTAATCAATTATTCACCCTTGGGTGGGGTCAAACCAGTGACAGTACGTAACCACAACACAAACAACACAACGGTTACAGAATTAGTTAACACTGTTTTTGTTAGGCGATCCTTCTCTTGCCGCACGTATTCAGGTGCTTTACGCAGTTGCTATAACTAATGAAGAATGCAGACAGGTTTACGGATTTCAAATTACCGACGAAATGGTCTGCATTGTTGGGAGTTATAATAATGGAATTTGTTATGTAAGTAATTTTTGACGATCATTGGTTGTGTTAATGTCTAAAATTATCTTCAAAGGGCGATACTGGTGGTCCTTTAGTCGAAGTTTTGAGATTAGGAACTCGAAGGCTTGCTGGTATAGCAAGTTTCATCAGTTCAAATGGATGTGAAAGTACCGACCCATCTAGGTTTACTAGAATTACTCCGTATGTTAGTTGGATTACAAACGTCACCAGAGGATAAATTATTTCGTAATATATATTTATGTATATAAATTTTTATCAGATAAAATTTTCCCAATAATGTACTGTATGTTACTACCGTGTACCATTTAATTCCTTTACGACTATATTGTGAACCCGCTATCAAACAGAAACAGGTACTTTAAGATAATTGTAATCCGTCATTAAGAAAAGCGTTTTATTGGAAGGTAAGATTATAACATATAAAAGAATAAAAAGTACATAAAATTTCTCTACTCGAAAAAAATTACACCACAGAAATTGATAATGAAGATTTTACTGATAACACTGCTGTGTCTTATCCCATATACCTTGGTAAGAAATATTCAATACAAATATCGAATTTTTCAACGTTTTGCAACTTTTTAGGGAATCACTCTTCCCCGTGAAAATGGTACATCAAGTCACTATTTGTTAGATAAAATTATAACCTTTTGATTTTCGTAGGTCTAAATAGTCGCATTATAGGCGGATTTGACGCTAATATACGAGCATATCCCTTCGTTGTTGCTGTTAATGTTCAAACATCCCTCAGCAGATTTTTCTGTGGAGGAACCCTATATGGGTCAGAATGGGTAATTACAGCCGGTCAGTGCGTCGATGGGTAAAAAGTAGATCTTTTTGTTTCATTTTGTCTTATAAGTCTAAGTTTAGGGCTACTTTGTTTACTGTAAGTTTAGGGTCTGCTACCTTAAACGACGATGATCCAAATCGGGTGACTGTAGCTACGTCTACGTATTATTTACACCCGGAGTATAATCCACAAACTCTGGAAAATGACATTGGGATTATACAGTTTCGGATACCCATTACCCACACGGGTATCTATTACTACATTTAGCTATGTATTAAAATACTTATACAGTATTTTAGATTATATAAAGTCCGTTAATTTTCTACCAAGTGAGAACATAGCACTAGGTATCCAATATTATGCATTCGGGTGGGGTCAAATTAGTGACAGTAAGTACCTATATGAAACATATGATATCATAACATAATTGTTCAACATGTAAATAGGTGACTCATCTCTTTCGAACAAACTGAAAGTAGCATATATTGGTTCTATAACAAATGAAGAATGTAGACTATACTATGGTAGTCAAATTACAGACAATATGGTGTGTATTGTGGGAAATTACAATGAAGGAATTTGTCATGTGAGTTTATGAACTTTAAAGAATAAATATATCTTAAAAACGACCTTTCTTGACATTCCAGGGTGACACTGGAGGTCCTCTGATAACAACATTAAGAACAGGAACTACGGTACTTATTGGTGTTGCCAGCTTTATGAGTTCAAATGGGTGTGAAAGCACAGATCCTTCAGGCTTTACTAGAACATATCCATACGTCGATTGGATAGCAAACGTTACAAATATATACACAAACACAAGTGCTGTAAATTTTTAAATGAATAGTCATATCAAATGAAATAAAAATTAAAAACAAAAACAAGGAATTTTATTCAAAAGAGCTCTGTGTTGTGCTTGGAACTTTAAATCGAAATACCACAAGGTTGGTATTCCCACAAGAAAATTTGATGAGACGTCATTGACGTTAAGTCAGCAATCTAGCAGCGTTTGTAAGATATTTGTGGGATAAGGTACAATGACTGTGTTTATTTTATTGGTGTCTAAATTCATTTTATTTTACAATATCTGAATTCACCCATTGACCTTTCAAATACTACGTTACTAAAAACTACTGCCAAAACGAAAACATGTTCTATTATAACAAAAAAGTTTTATTTTTTCTTCTTGGCACCGTTTCGTGTATGTATTCTAGAGAGGTAACAATTAGATAACTAGTTTTTCTAAATTTCTAAACGTTTTTTACAGATTTCAAGCTTTTTTGTAAAGAGTCGTGGTAACTAATGCAAACGTTGTATTTATTTTAAATATATTTCTTAATAATGCAGGTGCCACTACTTATATTATTGGTGGACAAAACGCCACCGTCAACCAATTCCCTTTTGCAGCAGCTATCCAAGTACGCATAGAAGACAGCGCTTTTTTCTGTGGTGGTACCCTATATGGAACCGAATGGGTAATAACCGCTGGTCAGTGTGTCTACGGGTGAAAGATACAACTAAATTAGAAATATTATATTAAGGCAACGTTATTATAGAGCCATCTTGTTCACAATTCGGTTGGGATCAGTACACTTGAATGATGATGATTCAAATGTATTGCTTTTAGCTACATCTGAGTACTTTTTACATCCTGATTATAACCCAGAAACTTTGGAAAATGACATCGCGTTGATTAAATTGCGAAGTGCAATAACATTTACTAGTGAGTTATAATTCCGAGTTATAACTGATTTATTCTTTAAGACTATGTTCGTTCGATCGATTCTTTGGGAAGGCCTGATGTAGACACTAATTCTGACCTTACTGCAATTGGTTGGGGACAAACCAGTGATGGTATTTATATTTTAAACATTTATAGAATTATTTTTTACTATTTTATTTTTACAGAAATTGGAACTTTGGCACCAAATCTTCAATATATAAAGTTCGTTCCAATAACCAACGAAGAGTGTAAAATAACCTATGGAAATCAAATTAAAGATAATATGGTGTGTTTAGTAGGAAATTATAATGAAGGTACTTGCCACGTAAGTTGTAAGCTCGTGGTGTGTATATCAAATGTCTAAAAGTGTTATATTTTTATATGAAGGGAGACACGGGAAGTCCACTGATAGAATTATATAGCTACAGGTACACACTTCACGCTGGAGTTGCAAGTTTTATAAGTGGCAATGGGTGTGAAAGCACGGATCCCTCGGGATACACAAGAACATTTCCATATGACGATTGGCTTCGAATCATCATGTACTGACACATGTAAAAATAACTCCAAGAAATAACTAGTAAATAGAATAAGAAATACCAAAATCTGGCTTTTTTTGCTGTGTTGCCATATGGGGGAAGATACAAGTTGTAAAGTAGTCATTTAGAAAATTAATCTTCGAAAGTCTAAATAACTTTAGATCAATTTTTTATAAATTATGGGCCGTAGATTTTGTGTCGACGTGAGGATGTAAATTGAAAATGTCCTCGTAAATCGTTTAATTGTTTAAACGAAAATGAATCGCATTCGACGCCGCAATCTAATTATTAATGTTTTTCAAATTTGAAATGCGTAATACTTTTGAACACTACATGTGTTTTGGTTTTATTATTTGCAAATTCACAGTTCAAATTCAGTTTTTTTACTGTTCATGCTTTTGATACACTTTAAAAGTCATTTAAATATTCATATAAACCACATGTTAGGAAATTCTCTTGTTTAGACTTTTTCGTCGTTTCAATTTGGATTTTGTAAAGGATTCTCAACATCTTCTGCTATAATTTAATTAACAAATAGCACTATCCAGAGCTTTGAATATAAACGATTCTATTTATGACTCACTTCCTAGATCTCAACAAAGCAGTGGACTCTGTAACACGATATTCTATTACGAAAAATGTACTCTTATAATTTCTTTCTACTTGTCTGGTATAAATCTCATCATGAGTTATTTAAGAAATAGAACTCAACAAGAAACCTTTAATAATAACTAATCTGACCTTTCTTGTATTAATTTTGAGGTTCCCCAAGGAACCATTCTTGGGCCTTTGTTATTTTTATTATTCATAAACGTTGTACGTCGCCAGCAAGCTTTACACCGATGAAACCTGCATTGGTATTATAGGAACACAGTTGATATTGTTTACAGTCAAAAATAAAAATTGTGGAAAAAAAAGCTGAACAGTTTTTTACCACTACGTAAAGAGTGGTAAAAAAAACGCCTGAATATTTTGTAAAATATCTAGGTATTTATATTGATAAAGACCTTAGCTGGAGTTAACAGGGCAGTTATTTAGCTGACAAAATATCAAAAAACATGTTCCTTCTCGAAATTTAGCTAAAAAGCGTTCCCTAAATTATCTGCATAACGTTTATTAATTTTATCATGCCTTATTCACTGCTTGCTCAATTATTCTATCCTAATTTGAGGCTAATCATGTTTTTTAAGATGAGTATTTAAACTACTACGAAGAGCAATTAGAAACATACTGGAGAATGATATAGGACTTATTAAGTTACGAATGCCGATAGAGTTTACAGGTACTTAACTAATTACTATTTCTACAACACTGAAAATGTTTTCTTCGTTTCTACTTTTTAAGATTATATTAGACGACTTCTTCCTCTGGCATTGCATGAACTACCAGCCAAACCAGATCTTCGAAGTATTGGATGGGGACAAACTTCTGATTGTAGGTATGGCACATTATTAATACGTGCAATAACAGTTTGTTTTTCAGCAAATTCTTCACTGTCTGAAGATCTCCAAGTTGTAAGAGTAGCTTCTGTAACAAACAATGAATCTAAGATTGTATATGGAAATCAGATCACTGATAAAATGGGTTGTGTTGTTGGTAACTATAATGAAGGTGCTTGTCATGTAAGTTAGACACTAATGTTGCGAAACAAGTATTTGAGAACAATTTTCAGGGCGGTATCGGAAGTCCCTTGTTGGATGCTTACAGTAGATATACTGCGATTCATGTTGGATTTGCCAGTTTTGTAAGTAGTAATGGCTGCGAATCAACTGATCCGTCAGGATATACAAGGATTTATGGATATGTTAACTGGATTACTGAAGTTACTAGATAAAAGTGGTATTCTTATGTATGTAAAATAAAAGTTTGAAGATAGCAATTTTGCTGTTTTTCTCCATTATTACTTCCTAAGAGGCAATCTCTTGAATTCACTTTACAAAGTTACAACATCTGTAAATACACTGGATATAGCAAAATAGTAATTTTCAATATTTAAAAAGTTATCAGGAAGTTTGTGTCATAATTATCAAAAATAATTTTTTTATCTTGCTCAATTTGCATCAAATGTATCAAAACTTACATCGAAAGATGTAGTGCCTTGGATTTGGAAAAAATACTAATAGGAGGGGGTTTTAACGCAAGATTTGGTGATAAGGGGACAAGAATAATAGATACAGAAAAGGGAGAGAAAAGAGGATCAAAAGATAAAGCAAATAACAAAGAAGGTAAACTATTGTGGCAGACAATAGAAGAAATGGGATGGGAAATTTTGAATGGAAACAAGGAAGGAGGACGTACGTAGGGGCTAGGGGAGAATCAATTATAGACTATGGGATTGTCAACGAAGAGGCGTGGGAAGAAATAGAGAGTTTCAAATTGGGGGAAAGGGTAGAATCAGACCACATGCCACTAGAAATAAAAATCAAAGGAAAAGAGCAAGAGTACGAAAAACAAGAGAGAAGAAACAAAAGAAAAGAAATAGAGGAAAGAATATGGAATGAAGAGGGAATTTAAAGATACAGAAGTAGACTAGAAAAAAAGAAATTCGAAGTGAAAGAAGATATAGAAGCTATGATAGCAGAACTGAGCAACCTAATTGTAGAAGCTACGGAAAAAAGAAAGATATACATATGGCAAGGGAGGAATAATGGATGCAACGAAGAATGTAGTGAGTTGAAGAGAAAAGCAAGGGAAAAATTAGGAAAATGGAAGAATAACAAAGGAAGGAAAGAAGAGTACCTAAAAGCAAGAGAGAATTATAGGAGAAAATGGGAAGAAAGAAAAAGAGAAAAACGAGAAGAAGAAGAAGAGAAGACAATAAAGGCCCTGAAAACAGAAGAAGTATGAAGATATATAAATAAGGAACGGAGAAGGAAGACTGAAGTCAGTAAGAAAATCAAAATACATGAATGGAAAAAACACTTTATGGAATTATTGGGAGGTTTTGAGGAAAAATGCAAAAAAATAAATAAAGGAATCACAACGACGAAAAAAATGTGGAGAGGTTCGGAAATAACAGAAGATGAAATAGGAAGACAGATTGAAACACTGAAAAGAGGAGGAGGGGATGGAATACAGAACGAAGCGTGGATGTTCGGGACAGAAGGAGTGAAAGAAAGGATATGGGAAGCGGTAGATGGAGTTTGGAAGGTGTGAAGAACTACCGAGGGATGACCTTGGTCAATACCGCGTACAAGACATAGGCATGATACTAGATGAGAGGTTACGCAAGGAGATGTAAGAGGTATGTTACCAGACGGTCAGGCAGGGTTTAGGAAAGGAAGAGGTACTATGAACAACGTGTATATCCTGCGGCATTTAGTGGGAAGAGAAATAAGGAAAGACGGTGGACGAATGTACGCATTGTTCATAGATTTCAAAGCAGCGTTTGATAGTGTGAATAGAGAGAATGTGGGAGTATTTGGGGAGAAAGGGAGTAGGTGCGTACCTGGTAGCGAAAATGGAAGAAATATATGAAGAAGCAGTAAATAATGTGAGAGTGAATGGAACAGAGAGCGAGAGTTTTTATGCAAATAGAGGAGTGAGACAGGGATGCCCACTCAGCCCCACATTGTTTGCAGCTTATCTAGGATATATAGGTGAAATGTTCAGACAGGAGGGGTAGTAGTGGGCAAAGAGAAAGTGTGGTCGTTGGCGTACGCAGATTATTTTTTGATTGTGGCAAAGAAAAGAAAAGAAATGAAAACAATGATTAAAGCTTTTGAGAAGTATGTAGAAAAAAAAGAATTGGAAGTGAATGTGGAAAAAACAAAAATGGTGGGGTTTGGGAAGAAAGTAAGAAAGGATAAGGAAGAGTGGGCTTGGGGAGGGAAGAATATTGAATAAGTGAAAGAATTCCAGTACTTAGGATATACATTAAAGAGCAATAACTCAGATAGAGCGCATGTCCAAGAAATGGTTCGAAAAGCGAACAAAGTGATAGCAATAGTATGGGGAATAGGAGAGAGAAAATTTGGAAATGATTATAAGAGAAGAATGATGATGTTTGATAGTTTGATCAAAAGTGTATTTATGTATGTAGCTGAGATTTGGAGATGGAGGGAATATGAAGAAATAGCGAGAGTGCAAGAAAAATACTTGAAACGGACATTGGGATTAGAAAAGTATACGCCGGGGTATATAGTGAGGGAAGAAACAAAAAGGAAGAAAATGAGAGTGGAAGCGGGTGAAAGGGCGGTTGGATTTGAAGAGAAGTTTAGTGAGAGAGAATGTTGTTAAGAAATAAGAAAGGAAGGTGAAAAACTTGTTTAGAACGAAAGAGACAAGTATTGTGAAGGAAAGGGATATGCATATGAAGAAATAGAGAGAATGAGAGAAATGGGAAGGAGTATGAAAGAAGAACTGAGTGTAAGAGATAAGGATATAGATAAGCAAGAACGCAGATCGAGAATATCGGAGCCTAGATATAATGCAGAGTACAGACAAATAGTAAAGGAGGAAGTACCAAAGTACACACACAGCCAGAGTATAAAGAAGAAAAGAATGATGGCGAGATTTAGGTGTGGAAATGAAGAGAAAGAGAATAATTTTTGGATGGATGAAATAGAATTCTCGATTGATATGTCGCTACTAGACTGCAATGATGATAAATTTAAGGAGTGGAATGAATCTGCAAGGAATACTTGCTATGAAGATAAGCCAAAAACATCACGTTTTATTTTGTTAATAGCAGCACTATATGAATGGCAGTTATCTCGGTCCCAAGCAGCATGATCAACATTTATTTGATCATGATTACCAGACGCTTTCATGTTGGTACAATTTATACAACGCAGCTTCTCGGCTTGACACTCTTTAACACTATGGTTCCCAGCACAGCGACGACAGATAACATTACTTTTGCAAGAGCTGGATGAATGGTTAAAACCATTACAAGTGAAACACCGGAAAATATCAATACCACAAAAGATATAACATCTGTCTAAACCTATTAGGCAGTGCCCTATGCTAATGGCTTTTTTATAGGAGGCGATATCTACTTCAACAATTACTTGAAAACGGTCAGACTTATTTTTCACAGGCAAAAATTTAATCAACTTCTGTACATTTTCTTCATCGTTGTCAAAAATAAACTCATTTTGTTTGACCAAAAAATCCAGAACACTTGACTTACTAACATCCTTGGAAATTCCAGTAATTCTGATACGAGAATATCGGAGTCTAGATATAATGCAGAGTATAGAGAAATAGTAAAGGATGAAGTACCAAAGTACACACAGAGAGAGAGTATAAAGGAGAAAAGAATGATGGCGAGATTTAGGTGTGGAAATGAAGAGAAAGAGAATAATTTTTGGATGGATGAAACTGACAGAAGGTGTAGGATATGTCGGAGAGAGGGAGAAACAATAGAACATATGCTGGAAGGATGTGAAGGATTGAGAGAATCGGAGGAAAGTAGATGTTGTAAAGTAAAGTAGGTTATTGTTGCATTATTGTTGCATTATAATTTCATTTCGACATAGTTTTGTTAGCTATATTAAATTAGGTTGCTTGTCCAAATGTTTTGTAATCGCTGACTCCTCTGTATTTTGTAAGAATATGGTCAGTTGCCCTCGTTACGAGGAAGTGATAAATAGAGGAGTCAACGAAGAGACAAGGGAGAGAATGTGTGTAAGGTAGAGAAGAAGTTGCCATGTGATCATGGCCATGTATAAAGTTGTCATGTAAGTTTTGTTATGTGGGCAGTGAAATAAACGGGAAATCGAAACATATGTGTCTAAGTCACAACCCCTTCACAACAAGAAGTGCTAAACGAGGATGGAACAGGACTGGACTGGATGAAAGAAGTACGGAAGATAAGGGGACTATGGGAAGGGGTGGGCAAGCAGAAAGAATAGAAGATTTATTATATAAAACCCGAATATTTATTTTATTGTACTTATTTTTATTGATTTATCTGTATTATGTAGATTAAGTTAATTTGTACCCCTACTAGACTGGTTCCAGAGGTACTTAATTTAGTTAGTCGACTGTAATGGCCAGAAATCAGATATGATGGCCTTACGGGGTTCCCCAGGGATCGGTCCTTGGACCTGTTCTATTTTCTTTATATTCTGCCTACTTAGTGAAAGTTATTAAACATTGCAGTGTACACATGTATGCAGATGATCTACAACTTTATCTTACTTTTAATCCAAAAAAAACTAAAACGTGTGTTAACCTTATCAATAGAGATAGCCAACTGAAGTTTGTGCAACATGCGAAAAAACCTTTTTATTCTTTAAGTAAATAAGTCCTTATAGGTTTTATCTGGATACTAAATCTAAAAAGCGGCTCTCAGATGCTTTGATTTTATTTCATTTAAATTATGCTGATACAGTCCTTGTCTATCTCAGGTGCAAAAATATCGGCTACAGAAAATTCAAAATCTATCTATATTTATAATTTGGTAACAAAATGTTTTATTGAACCAATTAAAAACAAGTCACCTCATTTTCACGAAAAGGTGAGAATATAAGTTTCTCAAATTAGACTTAGAAAATAAAAACTGTGTTATAACAGAAAGTAAAACTTTTAGAAATATTTCTTTGTTTTAATGGCTAATACCGCCGAATAAAAATTAGCAGATAACACTGAGCCTCTAAATTCTATAACCTTTTGACGAACTTTGTTGATTTTAAGATAAGACGTCCACAACTAACCTAGGATGACTACAATATTTTTACCGATATATTATTTCGAATTTTAAAAATTGTAAAGTCATTAACAAACGATGACGCGCCACATGCTGATATTTTTTTCGCTTCTGATAGTACAAAACGTTCCGGTAAAAAATCATATACTCTGAATATTTAAAATTTCCTTTTTGTTTTGTTTTAGACAAAAGCTTCTCTTCACCATGACCAATCGTCTGGTAAGTAAATCAAATTTCACCCTCCGAATACAAGACAACATTTTATTTAGAGAAAAGTGGTCGTATAATAGGTGGTATTGATGCCCATATTGCTGTATTCCCTTTCATTGCGGCTGTTAACGTTCAAACATCAAACAGCAGATTTTTTTGTGGAGGAACTCTTTACTTGTCTGAGTGGGTCATCACAGCTGGTCAATGTGTCGACGGGTAAGATTACAAATCACTTTTATCTAAGTAATAGTTGTAACATTTTTGTTCTAGGGCTGTGTTATTTACAATAACTACAATAAGTTTTGGTGCAGATACTTTGGAAAATGAAGATGATAGTCGAGTGACAGTAGCTACATCAACGTACTTTCTGCACCCAGATTACAATCCACAAACTTTGGAAAATGATATTGGTATCATCAGACTACGCATGCCTATAACACACACTAGTAAGTTAAGGAAAGAAGACAATAAAACAGTCACCATTGTGTAACTAATTATTATGTTACGTTTTAGATTACATAAAAGCGATTGAAACCCTAGCAACTACAGATCTTACGATTGGTAATCAATTATTCACCCTTGGGTGGGGTCAAACCAGTGACAGTACGTAACCACAACACAAACAACAAAGCGGTTACAGAATTAGTTAACACTGTTTTTATTAGGCGATCCTTCTCTTGCGGCACGTCTTCAGGTGCTTTACGCAGTTGCTATAACTAACGAAGAATGCAGACAGGTTTATGGATTTCAAATTACCGACGAAATGGTCTGCATTGTTGGGAGTTATAATAATGGAATTTGTTATGTAAGTAATTTTTGACGATCATTGGTTGTGTTAATGTCTAAAATTATCTTCAAAGGGCGATACTGGTGGTCCTTTAGTCGAAGTTTTGAGATTAGGAACTCGAAGGCTTGCTGGTATAGCAAGTTTCATCAGTTCAAATGGATGTGAAAGTACCGACCCATCTGGGTTTACTAGAATTACTCCGTATGTTAGTTGGATTACAAACGTCACCAGAGGATTTTTTTATATACATAAATATTTCGCAATATTTATGTATATAAATTTTTATCTGATAAAATTTTTCCAATAACGTACTATATACTCCAGTATGTTACTACCGTGTACCATTTAATTCCTTTACGACTATATTGTGAACCCGCTATCAAACAGAAACAGATACTTTAAGATAATTGTAATCCGTCATTAAGAAAAGCGTTTTATTGGAAGGTAAGATTATAACATATAAAAGAATAAAAATCACATAAAATTTCTCTACTCAAAAGAAATTACACCACTGAAATTGATAATGACGGTTTTACTGATAACACTTTTGTGTCTTATCCCAAATACCTTGGTAAGAAATATTTCATACAAATACCGAATTTTTCAACGTTTTGCAAATTTTTAGGGAATCACTATTCCACGTGAAAATGGTACATAAAGTCACTATTTGTTAGATAAAATTATAACCTTTTGACTTTCGTAGGTCTAAATAGTCGCATTATAGGCGGATTTGACGCTAATATACGAGCATATCCCTTCGTTGTTTCTGTCAATGTTCAAACATCCCTCAGCAGATTTTTCTGTGGGGGAACACTATATGGGTCAGAATGGGTAATTACAGCTGGTCAGTGCGTCGATGGGTAAAAAGTAAATCATTTTGTTTCATTTTGTCTTATGAGTCTAAGTTTAGGGCTACTTTGTTTACTGTAAGTTTAGGATCTGCGACCTTAAACGATGATGATCCAAATCGTGTGACTGTAGCTACGTCTACGTATTATTTACACCCGGATTATAATCCACAAACTCTGGAAAATGATATTGGGATTATACGGTTACGGATGCCCATTACCCATACTGGTATTTTTTACTACATTTAGCTATGTATTAAAATACTTATACATACAATATTTTAGATTATATAAAGTCGGTTAATTTTATACCAAGTGAGGATATACCACTAGGTATTCAATATTATGCATTCGGGTGGGGTCAAATTAGTGACAGTAAGTATATGAAACATAATGATATCTTAACATCATTGTTCAACATATAAATAGGCGACTCATCTCTTTCGAACAAACTGAAAGTAGCATATATTGGTTCTATGACAAATGAAGAATGTAGACTATTCTATGGTAATCAAATTACAGACAATATGGTGTGTATTGTGGGAAATTACAATGAAGGAATATGTCACGTGAGTTTATGAACTTTAAAGAATAAATATATCGTAAAAACGACTTTATTTGACATTCCAGGGTGACACTGGAGGTCCACTGATTAGAGCGTTAGGTACAGGAAGTATGGGACTTATTGGTGTAGCAAGCTTTATGAGTTCAAATGGGTGTGAGAGCACAGATCCTTCAGGATTTACTAGGACAAATCGATATGTCAGTTGGATCGCAAATATCACAAATATGTAGACAAACACAAGTGCTGTAATTTTCTACATGGATAGTCATATAGTAAAATTTTAATAAAAAAAACACGCAATTTTCTCTTATTTAAAAAAAAAATCTTCTGAGTCAAATTAATTTAAAGTTAGCCAATCAGCACAAGGTTGGCATTTCCACAAAAAAAGATTTGGTGAGACGTCATTGACGTAAGTCAGCAATCTAGCAGCATTTGTAAGATATTTGTGGGATTAGGTACAATGACTGTGTTTATTTTATTGGTGTCTAAATTCATTTTATTTCACAATATCTGAATTCACCATTGACTTTTTAACGATTTTTAAATACTACGTTACGAAAAACGACTGCCAAAGATGTTCTGTTATAACATAAAAGTTTTATTTTTTCTTCTTGGCACCGTTTCGTGTATTTATTCTAGAGAGGTAACAATGAGATAACTAGTACTAATCTAAATTTCTAACCGTTTTTTACAGATTTCAAAATTTTTTATAACGAGTCGTGGTAACTAACACAAACGTTGTATTTATTTTAAATATAAGGTATGTTTTAATAATGCAGGTGCCACTACTCGTATTATTGGAGGGCAAAACGCCACCGTCAACCAATTCCCATTTGCAGCAGCGATCCAAGTACGCACAGAAGACAGCGCTTTTTTCTGTGGTGGTACTCTATATGGAACAGAATGGATAATAACCGCTGGTCAGTGTGTTTACGGGTAAACTATAATTATAACCAAATAAGAAATCGTAAATTAAGACAAGATTATAGAGCCATCTTGTTCACAATCCGGTTGGGATCAGTACACTTGAGTGATGACGATCCAAATGCATTGCTTTTAGCTACATCTGAGTACTTTTTACATCCTGATTATAACCCAGAAACTTTGGAAAATGACATAGCGTTGATTAAATTGCGAAGTGCAATAACATTTACTAGTGAGTTATAATTCCGAGTTACAACTTATAACTGATTTTATTCTTTCAGACTATATTCGTTCAATCGATTCTTTGGGAAGGCCTGATATAGATAGTAATTCTGACCTTACTGCAATTGGTTGGGGACAAACCAGTGATGGTATTTATATTTTAAACATTTATAGAATTATTTTTCACTATTTTATTTTTACAGATTGGAACTTTGGCAGCAACTCTTCAATATGTAAAGGTCGTTCCAATAACCAACGAAGAATGTAAAATAACCTACGGAAATCAAATTAAAGACAATATGGTGTGTCTAGTAGGAAATTATAATGAAGGTACTTGCCACGTAAGTTGTAAGCTCGTGGTGTGCATATGAAATGTCTAAAAGTCTTATTTTTTTTATGAAGGGAGACACGGGAAGCCCACTGATAGAATTGTATAGCTACAGGTATACACTTCACGCTGGAGTTGCAAGTTTTATAAGTGGCAATGGGTGTGAAAGCACAGATCCCTCGGGATACACAAGAACATTTCCATATGACGACTGGCTGCGAACCATCATGTACTGACCCTGTAAAATAATGCCAAGAAATAAGTAGTAAATAGAATAAAAAAATACCAAAATCTGGCTTTTTTGCTGTGTTGCCATATGGAGGAAGATCTAAGTTGTAAAGTTGTCATTTAGAAAATTAATATTCGAAAGTCTAAATAACTTTAGATCAATTTTTTATAAATTATGAGTCGTTGATTTTGTGTCGGCGTGAGGATGTGAATTGAAAATGTTCCAGTAAATCGTTTAATTGTTTAAACGAAAATGAATCGCATTCGACGCCGCAATCTAATTATTAATGTTTTTCAAACTTGAAATGCGTAATACTTTTGAACACATGTAATTTTGGTTTTATTATTTGTAAATTCACAGTTCAAATCCAGTTTTTTTACTGCTCATGCTTTTGATACACTTTAAAAGTCATTTAAATATTCATATAAACCACGTGTTAGGAAATTCTCTTATTTAGACTTCACTCTTTCGTTGTTTCAATTTGAATTTTGTAAATGATTCTCAATATCTTCTGCTATAATTTAATTAACAAATAGCATTATCCAGAGCTTTGAGTATAAACGATTCTATATATAACTCACTTTCTAGATCTTAACAAAGCAGTGGACTCTCTAACACATGATATTCTATTACGAAAAATGTACTTTTATAATTTCTACTTGTCTGGTATAAATCTCATCATGAAGTTATTTAAAAAATAGAACTCAACAAGAAACCGTTAATAACAACTAATCTGACCTTTCTTGTATTAATTTTGAGGTTCCCCAAGGAACCATTCTTGGGCCTTTGTTATTTTTATTATTCATAAACGTTGTACGTCGCCAGCAAGCTTTACACCGATGATACCTGCATTGGTATTGTAGGAACACAGTTGATATTGTTTCCAGTCAAAGTAAAAATTTTGGAAAAAAAAGCTGAACAGTTTTTTACCACTACGTAAAGAGTACTGAAACGCCTGAATATTTTGTAAAATATCTAAGCATTTATATTGATAAAGACCTTAGCTGGAGTTAACAGGGCAGTTATATATTTAGCTGACAAAATATCAAAAAACATGTTCCTTCTCGAAATTTAACTAAAAGGCTTTCCCTAAATTATCTGCGTAACGTTTATCATGCCTTATTCACTGCTTGCTCAATTATTCTATCCTAACTTGAGGTTAATCATCTTTTTTAAGGAGAGTATTTAAACTACTACGAAGAGCAATTAGAAACATACACAATTCGAAATATAAAGAAGATTGTAGAAAGCTTTTTTTTTCATTGAATATATTCACCTTACCCTCTTTATATAACCGTTGCTTCGAATTTATTTATATAATATATTTTTATATAACTTAATATCAACTTGTATCCAAAAGTTAATTTCAACCGTAATTATTAATTATAGCAAAAGATATCAAAATATTTTCTTTAAAAATTTACGGCTGGCAAAATCTAGAGATGACACATGTTTGCATAAAACTTTTAAATGCTTTGCCAAAAAAACTAATTAGAGATAATAATTATGCTACCAAAATTTTCTTGAAAAGTCTAATATTTGATTGGGAAGATCTTTTATTCATCAGATGAATTTCTAAGTAATAATTTTGACGAGTTGGTATTATTATTTAACAATGAATAATTTATATTATATTGCCACGAAATTCCGGTGTGACGGACGAACGGTCCGGAATCTCGCCGATAACGTGTAGGGGCGGCGTACCTGGGGGCCAAGCTTTGGGCCGACTAGTGTCGCTAATTTAAAAACACGTCTGGCCGACCAAGCTTATGCGGCGACCTTCACGCCGGCGTTGCTCTCAACCCGGAGACACGGATTTCAGGTGGTGAGCGCCAGCGAAAACAAGACAATAAAATAAAACGGCAAGGAATATTAACAATAAAACGGGTTTATTCCCTGTCACAAACTACACGGCTAAAATAATAGATCTTACGGCTAAACTTAACTTAAATATATACGAAACGGTTTTGCAAAAAAAAGTTCGGCACGGTCGTTCCTCCTGGGCGGCAACTTCCTTGAGGACGGGTTCCACCTGAACTTGGGGGCCGGCGACCTTGAAACCTGGAAATCGGGCGAGGACGGTACGGCTACCCGGGAGGGGAGCGCGGTGGCGGTACACGACGCGTGCACGACGGTATCGACTTGTGACCGCGACGACAAAAAACCCGGTGACGGTGATACGGTTTTTCGCTCGGGGGCGGCGATTCCAAAAACCAATACGTTAACGGGCAGACCACACAAAAGGTACTTACGGTGGACGGAGGGTCAAACTGCACTTTGAAATCGCGTATTTACCCCCGCCATCGCGGTACGCGTCACGGTTTCCGGCCCGCGAAAATTCGCTTCGTTACAATATGTCACATTTTATAATAGTTCCTCCATTTTGAAAGACTTTGAGAATTTCCATCATTTAAATTAATTTCACGATACAGTAGAGACCTTGGTGCATTTCATGTTCTATGTTTATTAATCTGCTACTTTCTATTATCCAAATTATTTTCGCACAGCTTGAATTTGAGCATTTATTCTTAAATTATTATTTTTATTTCAACTATATTTATTTTGCGTCTGCTGTGTATGAAAAGGGTCTAAGAAAAGCACGACCTATTATGTCAAGCGGTAAAAGCGATGATACTGGAAGAACATAGGAAGTAGTTGTGTCACAAAGATGGAGCTTCAAGAGATTGTCTTCAAGAAATTTGAAGTCCCAGTTACTTGACTTAAAAGAGGTAAGCGAAATCTTAAAGGACCTCCAAGGAAAAATTAGTTCTCGGGAAGAACACGAGAGCCTACATTAAGACACAAACAGCATGGGGAAACAATAAGGTAAAGGAACAAGTGCATGAGAAGAAAAAAAAGATATTCTATGGTGCTCTCCAAAACCTAAGAAAACCCAGTAATAAAACAATATTTTTAAATTAATTTGGAAAAGTCTTGCCAAGAGAAGGGCCTTAGTAAAACTTAGAACAACCATAAGGAGTATCTACAGGAACAACCGGAACTATGTAAGGAAGAGGAACCTCGGAACGAAACCAAAAAAACTCGTTTTCCAAGAGAGAGAAGTTCCTTGGCTGAACTGAAGAAGATCCAGAAACTTGTGGTGTCTAAGAGTCCTGGCCGGCGATTCAGAAATACTGACGCCGATTCATTTTGAGTTTAGAAACCAGCAGCATTTCCTGGATTTCCACGATAAGTCGCATTCGTTCTTCCAACGATCTTTTCGCATCCGTTGACACCCACTGCCTCTCCTTTATCAATGTCATCCCCCTTAAACATATTATCGAGCAGATGAAGATCAAGCACGATTTGCAAAAAATCGTCAAACTCAAGCAGATGAAGGTGTGTAAGATCATCAAAAGAATTCGAGGGACAAAACCAACGACGAAATCGTCGTACGAAGCAGACGAATGACTGACCGACGAATTGAACGAAAAGAACTTTGTACCGACTGCGACGTTAGGCAAAAAAGAGAATCAAATGAAGACATTTCAAAAACAATACGAAATTTTAAATAATATCAAAGAAAAAAGACAAAAATGGGGTAATTCTTGAAATTGATACCGATAAAAAACTCGGACCCTACGTCAAACAATTGAAGAAAAAGGGGGAAGAAATCGAGCTACTTTCAGAGACTTGTTAATAACGAATTGTGCGAGGACCGCGAAATCGAGAAATTGTGGAAGGAATAATCTTCTCTGTACTCGAAAAACACAGACCAGGAGAATTTGTAGAATCATTTTAAAAATAAAAGTAAAAAAATACAATCGAACACTTCAATCGACTCCAGTGAAGAAGAAGATAGAGACAGAAGCTCCACAGTTTCCTTGAAAAAGGAGTTATTGACTGAGACAGAGAAGCACGATTTTAAAATTCAAGTTTGTGACTTGTAAAAACCAAAAGCAGTCAGCGTACTAGAAACTTACCAAAATCAACAACAAACTTCCACAAGAAAGAAAGCCAAAAACAAAGTTCAACTATTGGAGGCGAAAATTAAAGAACTGGTAGAAGAAAAACAAAAACTAGTTGTGAATTTGGGCAAGAAAAATGTAGAATCTCAAGTTAAACCGAAGGAGGCGCTCAAAAATGAACTTGAAAAGTGAATATGATAGACGTTCGCATGTATTCGAGTAATAGTCTTCGACGAAGAAAAAATTTAAATTACTGCATACCACCATTCAAGAAATACACACAAAATGCAGAGTCAAAGAAGTCGTTGAGGAAATGGAGTGGCTAAGAAATGAAATCGATTTGAAACAGTTTGATTATGTCAGACAGAGTACATCAGCACAATTAGATCAGAGTAGTCTAGGCTACTTTTGGTGAGAATAATAGCAGACGAATGCTGTAATTCTACAATCCCGAAAGTTGTTTAATTAATCTAATCCATGCATATCGTTACTTAGTATTAGTACCCGTAAAGATGGAACGCTTGTCTGAATACCGGTCATTTCCGGGTCCGCCGTGGTATAAAAATAACGATCCTTTATTTTCTAAAGAGTTTACACAAAAATTGATTAACCAAATTAAAAGTCAATTAGCCCATAATCTACGTAATCATCGCAATTTCGAAATGTAGCTAATATAACCACGGAATTATGAAAGCAATTACTTTTGAGAGTACTAATTTCTCAATATTTGAACGATATTTGTGGGATTAACGACAATAACTGTGTTTATTTTATTGTGCGTCCTAAGTTGATTTTATTTCACATTATCAAAATTTACTGACAATTTTTTTACCGATTTTTAATCTGTACCTACTTACCTATAAATTAAAAGTAATTAGAAACTAGTACGCTATTAACAACTACTGTCAAAACGAAAACATGTTCAATTATAGCATAAAAATTTTATTCTTTTTTATTGGCGTCATCTCATCTATTTACTCTAGAGAGGTAATAAATAAAGATAATGAATTATTCTAAATTTCTAATGACTTTTTACAGATTTCAACAAAAAATAATGGTAAAAGTAATGAATATTAAATGCATTTTCAATAAATGTGTTGTTTAATACAGGTGCATCTACTCGGATCATTGGAGGTCAAAACGCCACCGTCAACCAATTTCCATTTGCAGCAGCAATCCAAGTACGCACAGAAACTAGCGCTTTCTTCTGCGGTGGTAGCCTGTATAGAAATCAGTGGATAATTACTGCAGGCCAGTGTGTCTATAAGTAAAATTGCAACCAAATTAGAAACCTAAATTACAAAAGCCAAGTTTTCAGCGCCATTTTGTTCACGATTCAATTGGGATCAATACACATAGATGCAGATGATTCAAACAAAATGACTTTAGCTACATCTGAGTACTTTTTGCATCCCGATTATAATCCATATACTTTGGAAAATGACATCGCTCTAATTAAATTACGAAGTGCAATAACATTCACTGGTGAGTTATACCTAATAATTGTCTGTTGAGTCTTGTAACTACAGTGATTTTAAGATTACGTTCGGTCGATTGACATGTTGGCAGTGGCTGATTTACAACTTGATGCTGATATTAGTGCTATTGGATGGGGACAAACTAGTGACGGTAGAATCTTTCAAAATTACCAAAAGCATTTTTTGATATTTTGTTTTCGCAGAAAGTGGAAACTTGGCACCAGCCCTTCAGTATGTAAAGGTTGTTCCACTAACCAATGAAGAATGTAGGTTAACTTACGGGAGTCAGATTAAAGACAACATGCTTTGTGTGGAAGGAAACTATAATGAAGGTACCTGCAATGTGAGTTATATAAAGTCGTAATTTGTTTATGCATGAAGTGTCTTAACGTGTTGATTTTCTGAAGGGGGACACGGGAAGCCCACTGGTAGAAATGTATAGTCGCAGATTTACGGTTCATAGTGGAGTTGCAAGTTTTATAAGTGGCCATGGATGCGAAAGTACAGATCCCTCGGGATATACGAGAACATTTTCACATAAAGACTGGATTCGAAATGTAACTGGAACGTAATGCGTCATCAATAAAGTAATGTTAAGAAATGTATAACAAATGAAAAAACACAAGATATTTTTTGTAATATGTAATTAAAAACAATATATATGTTTTGTCAAGTCTATAGTATGAAAATAAATATTTTGTTTGTTTATGATTTTGGTGTTTCTGTGTCAGTGGAACCTGTTGTTGTGAATGCACAAAGTAGAATTTTATTCCTGTTGCAATTTTAGACGATTTCAGTATGTAGACCAGTAGAAGATATAAACATTGACCGTGTTTCGTCATCAAATTAATGGGGTTAAAGTAGAGTTTTACTTCCCGAGTGTAAACTAAGGAAGTGTTGTAATTGAGTTCATCGGGCGACTGCCTTCTTTCAAATTTTTTCGATGGATCATGACTCTTAGAGTATGAAAAAATGGGTCTCCCGTTTTTGTTTGTCCGTCAGTGTCGATTTCTTTTAGACAGATGGACAAAGAGAAAAAAGAGAATAAAATACTAATATACGGGCTCGGGATAGACACATCAAACGCCAGGGATCGAATGAATGCACCCACTGCCCCACGTTCGGGTAAAAACGGTTAGGAAACTTGGTGAGAAAACATGTTTAGGAGAACTGAGTACTACAGAAAGTAAAGAAAGTGCGACGAAATTCCGGATGGGAGGGACGGACGGTCCAGTGACGGTCCGGAATCTCGCCGATAACGTATGGGGTGGCGGCGTACTTGGGTGCCAAGCTTTGGGTCGACTAGTGTCGCTGATGTCAGAAACACGTCTGGTCGACCAAGCTTATGCGGCTACCTTCACGCCGCCGGGGGTGGCGCCTTCGGTCAGGAGCGGCGGTAGCTCGGGCGCCAGCTCCCTCTCCGGGGGAGGGAGCGCCGGGGTGCTCTAAAGCCGGAGACACGGAATTCAGGTGATGAGCCGCCGCGAAAACCCGAGAATAAATAAAATAAAACGGCAAGAGATATTTTACAATAAAATAGGGTTTATTCCCTGCCACCAGCTACACGGTCTAAGATAATAAAACTTACGGCTAAATAACTTAACTAACTAAACAACGGTTTTACAACAAAAAGAGAATTAAACGTCCGGCACGGTCGTTCCTCCTGGGCGGCGACTTCCTTCAGGCCGGGCTCCTCCGGGCTCTGGGGGCGACGACCTTGAACCTGGAAATCGCGCGAAGACGGCACGGCGACCCGGGAGGGGAGCGCGGTGACGGTAACGACGCCTGCACGACGGTGTCGACTTTCGACGGTGACAAAAAAAACGCGGTGACGGTGACACGGTTTCTCACTCGGGGGCGGCGATTCCAAAACCGGTAAAAAAACAGGCAGGCGACCCGAAAAGTACTTACGGTGGGTCGGAGGGTCGAACTGCTCACTTTGTCACACTTCTCAAAAACTTCACCAGGACAGCCACAGCACCTCCTGCACTCTTTTGAGTTTCAGGCAAGAATCCTCTTCTTCCGCCGTGGCGGCGCGGCGATCGCCAATTTACCCCCGGCTTTCGCGGTACGCGGCACGATTTCCGGCCCGCGAAAATTCGCTTCGTTACAAAAGGACAATACAAAATAAATACCAACTGAAAAACAACATAAGTGATTGAAATTGAATCAACCATGATTTTGGTAAGCCAGAAAAAGATTCAAGATCTAATAAGACAGAAGGTTTAGAAAGAGAGAAAAAACGGAAGAGCCATGACAATCGTTTTCAGCCATGTAATGATAGAAGACGAGGAATGGAGATGGAATAAAAAATAGAACATCTAGAAACAACAAAAAACTGTTCCAAAATAACGTAGTTGAAAAATTGAAGAGAAATAGGAAGCCAAAGGCAATGAGGTAGGTGGAGAGACGATAGAACCTACAAGTGGAGACAGTGAGATTGTAGATGAGATATTACAAGCAGGCGTGGAATGAGACTAAAGAAATTATTGTCAGAGCTGATTGAAAATATATAATTTTAGCTTAACTGCAAAATACTTATTACCTTACAAAAAATTAAACATGTTTTTGAGTATCGTGTTATTCAAAAAATACTAAGTATATTAAGAATATAAAGGCAAAATAAACCCCACCCACCCACCCCATCCCAATTGTGATGATTTTTTTTTTATTCTTAGAAACCTTAAATACGTTTAAAACGGTAAATGTTTGTAGGGAAATGTGGATTTGGCACTTAGGCTCCACCCCGAGGACTGGCAACGAATAAAAACGTCATTACTAAATATTTAGATTAGGTCAGGTATGGGTAGGACGTAATCTTTGGCTTTGATTTTTTTGAAATACACATAGTATTCTTTGAACAACACGATACCCAAAATCATATCTTACATGATAATTTCTTGTAGAGAAATAAGGATTTTGCAATTAAGCTCCGCCCTCTTGGCTCACGACGAATAAAAAAAATCATCAGAAATGAGACAGGGTGGGTGGGCGGGGTTTATAAATTGCCTTTCTTTTTCTTAATATGCATAGCCATCTTTTCACAACAAGAAACATAAAACATGGTTAAAATGGTACATTTTTGGAAGGAAATATAGATTTTGCAATTATGGGGCGGAGCCTAATTGCCAAATCGATCTTTCCTAATACAAATTTTCCATTTTAAGCATGTGTTTCATGTTGTAAAAATATGTCTGCACATATTAAAACATAAAGGCAAAATGTAAGCCCGCCCACCCACCCTATCTCGAGTGTGATGATTTTTTTATTCGCCGTAAACCAAGGGGGCGGAGCTTAACTGCAAAATACTTATTTCTTTACAAGAAATTAAAAATATGTTTTTGTGTATCGTGTTGATCAAAGAATACCAGCTATATCGAGGAAAAAAGGCAAAATATAAACCCAGCCCACCCACCCCACGTCAATTGTGATGATTTTTTTATTCTTAGAAACTGAAAACGCGTTTAAAACGGGAAATGTTTGTAGGGAAATGTGGATTTTGCATTTAGGCTCCGCCCCAAGATCTGGCAACGAATGAAAACGTGATTACTACATATTTAGATCAGGTCAGGTATAGGTAGGGATTAATCTTTGGCTTTAATTTTTTCTTGATATACATAGTATTCTTTGAACAACACGATACTCAAAAACATCTCTTACATGGTAATTTTTTGTAGAGAAAGAAGGATTTTCCAATTAAGTCCCACCCTCCTGGCTCACGACGAATAAAAAAAATCATCAGAATTGAGACAGGGTGGGTGGGCGGGGCTTATATTTTGCCTTTTTTTTTTCTTCATATACATAACCATTTTTTCACAACAAGAAACTTAAAACATGCTTAAAATGATACATTTTTGTAAGAAAATATGGATTTCGCAATTACGGGGCAAAATCGATATTTCTTTATAAAAATTTTCCATTTTAAACATGTGTTTCATGTTATGAAAAGAAGTCTACACATATTAAAAAAAAAGCCAAAATATAAGCCCGCCCACCCGCCCTATCGAAATTGTGATGAATTTTTTTAACTCGTTGTGAACCAAGGGGGCGGAGTTTAACTGCAAAATACTTATTTCCTTACAAAAAATAAAAAATATGTTTTTGAATATCGTGTTATTTAAAGAATACTAGGTATATTAAGAACAAAAAAAAAATAAAATAAACCCCACCCACCCACCCCATCTTAATTGTGATGATTTTTTTTATTATGAGAAACTTAAAACACGTTTAAAACGGTAAATATTTGTAGGGAAATGTGGATTTTACATTTAGGCGCCGCCCCTAAGTCTGGCAACGAATGAAAACTTTATAAATACATATTTAGGTCAGGTCAGGTATGGGTAGGGCTTAATCTTTGGCTTTAATTTTTCTTAATATACATACATAGTATTCTTTGAACCACACGATACCCAAAAACATGTCTTACATAGTAATTTCTTGTAGAGCAATAAGGATTTTGCAGTTAAGCTCCGCCCTCTTGGCTAACACCGAATAAAAAAAATCATCAGAATTGGGATAGGGCGGTTGGATGGGGCTTATGTTTTGCCTTTTTTTTCTCAATGTACATGGCAATTTTTTCACAACAAGACACTTAAAACATGGTTAAAATGGTAATTTTTTGTAAGGAAATATGGATTTCGCGATTATGGGGCAAAATCGATATTCCTTTATATGTACTAATTTTCCATTTTAAACATGTGTTTTATGTTGTAAAAAGAAGTCTACACATATTAAAACAAAAAGACGAAAAGTAAGCCCACCCACCCGCCCTATCTTAATTGTGACGATTTTTTTATTCGTTGTGCACCAAGGGGGCGGAACTTAACTGCAAACTACTTATTTCCTTGCAAAAAATAAAAAATATGTTTTTGAGTATCGTGCTTTTTAAAGAATACTAGGTATATTAAGAATAACAAGGCAAAATAAACCCCGCCTACCAACCCCATGTTAATTGTGATGATTTTTTTTATTCTGAGAAACTTAAATACGTTTAAAACGGTGAATGTTTGTAGGGAAATATGGATTTTACATTTAGGCTCCGCCCCTAAGTCTGGCAACGAATTAAAACTTCATAACTAGATATTTAGGTCAGGTCAGGTATGGGCAGGGCTTAATCTTTGGTTTTAATTTTTTCTTTGTATATTTACATAGTATTCTTTGAACAACACGATACCCAAAAACATCTCTTACATGGTAATTTCTTGTAGAGCAATAAGGATTTTGCAGTTAAGCTCCGCCCTCTTGGCTCACACGAATAAAAAAAATTCGTCAGAATTGGGATAGGGTGGGTGGGTGGGGCTTATATTTTGCTTTTTTTTTTGTTAACATACATTGCCATTTTTTCACAACAAGAAACTTAAAACATGGTTAAAATGGTGAATTTTTGTAACGAAATATGGATTTCGCAATTATGGGGCAAAATTGATATTTCTTTATACAAATTTTCCATTTTAAACATGTGTTTCATGTTGTAAAAAGAAGTCTACACATATTAAAACAAAAAGAAGAAAAATAAACAGAATTTCAAGTAAACAGAGAACTCTGACGAAGCTATCCGTTATCCGTGCTTGGTAATCTAGTACTGGAAGTAGTTATAAGAAGCAGCAGTGTAAAAATGGACGGTACCATTTTCAACAATGGACATCAAGTATTAGCGTTTGAAGGTGACTGGACAATAATGGCAAAATCAAAAAGGAACTGCCATGAATTATACAGTAAATAGAAAAGGAAGCTGGAAAACTTGATCTAGAAATTAACCAAAACAAGACGATTGTATATAATAATGGGAAGGAGGAGACAAAGGAAACCAACCACGAGTAATATCCTAAGCAGAAAAAGAATATACATTTGAAAGAGTCAAAAAATGTATGTAGCAAGAGATAGCAATAGAGGAAGATGAAAAGGAAGACTTGAAAATGAAGAACAAGTTAGCTAATGGAACTCAAAAATATGTTAACCTATCCATATTAATGAGGCCAAAGTATCTATCAATCTTGATAGTGAGAATATACTAGATAATAATTTGATCTGTAGTAACTTATAAAAATACTTGGAGGTATATATGGTGGGACCTAAATAGTTCGTGCACCTAGAGAGAATGATTTGAGAAAGAATGCCAAAAGTGATTCTTTACAGAAGACGAAGAAAGGCCAAGAAAAAGAATCGTTTTTCAGTAGGATGGGACTAAAATGTATGCCAGTTTGTTGTTAAATAATTAAAGAGTAATCAGAATGTAGTAAATGGATAATGTGTCACATAGGTTTAGAAATCTTACTTTATTGGTGTCTTAAACTATAAAAAAAATTGTACAATTATGTAATAAAAGTTTATATATGTAGTTTATACAGATTATTAGTACAGCGAATATAGTTCAATTTTTTCAGCAATAATAGCAATGGAAAATTTTTCCAAGGCACTTAAATTCTATTTTTGCCCTATCATAAAGTTAAGATAAAGCAATAGGAAAGTACCCAAATCACGATAGATGTTATTTAGTAATATTTACAAAACAAGCGTAGATTTTCTTTCTTTGAAAAAATAACCAAAAATGAAATATTTACTTTTGGCAATTTTATTAATTTACACGATATATGCAATTCCATATGTGTTAGCCATTTTTGACGGACAGGAAGTTATAACACCTTATCGGTGGCCATTTATGGCAGCCGTTTACGTCCAAACAGAAACTACAAGATTTTTTTGCGGTGGTGCTCTTTGGGGACGCGAGTGGATAATAACCGCTGGTCAGTGTGTCTACGGGTAAATAAATCATCTCTTAAAACTTTAATTTACACTTTTTCTTCTAAATTCTCGGTCGACGACGTAAATAACTGTTTTTGTATTTTAGGGCAACCTCTTTTACAATTCAACTTGGCTCCATTACTTTGGAGGATGAAGATGAAAACCGTCTAACCCTGACTTCTACTGAATATGTGGTACATCCTGATTTTAACCCACAAACTTTGGAAAATGATCTTGGGTTCATTAAACTTAACGATAGTTTTGCTCTTACCCGTAAGTGGTTGAGAAAAATCTGAGTGTTTAATTTACATTTTGTCAATAGCAACCATCAGACCCATAGCCTGGCTACCTACGACTCCCCTTGACAACGAAACCATCGTGACTGTGTATGGATGGGGTCAAACGACCGATGGTACTAATAAATTAAATTTAACATTAGTTAATTTGTATAATAATGAAACAACTTTTAAGATGGACCTCAGCCCATTAATAATCTTATGTGGAATACAATGACAGCTTTAAATAATGAAGATTGTAGACTCATATATGGAAACCAGTTAACTGATAATATGGTCTGCGCAGCTGGTAACTATAATGAAACTAGAATTTGCAGTGTAAGTACCGTCATGTATTTAGAATAAATGATGTGGTTAATTGGTTACACAGGGTGACAGTGGTGGTCCTCTAGTTCAGTACTACGGGAAAGATTTATCAGTAGTTGTCGGCATAGCAAGTTTTGTCAGCGGAAATGGTTGTGAAAGTACTGATCCTTCTGGATTTACAAGAACGTTTCCTTATAACGACTGGATAAAGAATTTGACTGATCACATTTAAGTCATTTGTGAACAAAATTAAGAAAAAATATATCTAGGAAACATAAATGTCAATATATTTTATTTACTTCCTGATTACGTATGGAAAGAAACCTGTTTTACTTTTGTTTTTTAGATTTCACAATATTGTTACTAGGTGGATTATTATCGAATCAAGTTGACTTTAAATGATAACGAATAAATAAGGCTTAACTATATGGCAACAATTATAAAATAATTTACCAAATAATATTCTTTTCACTATTTATTAGTTGCACCTGTTAAAATCAGTGATACATTTTCTTTAGATCTTTTACCACGGGGCCGAAGCACTTTTTCATTTTTATAATGCTTTTCTCTGCGTTTTTCTTATTATTTTTTCTATCGCCTATAGAAAATGTAAATTAATTTTCTTAGACTTGGTTGTAGATTAATACCGGCTCTGCTTTCTTCAGGATGCTTCAGATACATTTAGAAACATCAATTCCAGAATCATAGGAGGGTATCCAGCACATATTAGTCAATTTCCGTTTGTCGCCGCCATCAATGTGGAAGCACCTGGTATGACATGGTTCTGGGGAGGAACTCTTTATAACGACGAATGGATCATAACAGCTGGACAATGTGTTAATCAGTAAGGTATCGTACGTTTGTTACTTTCATATCATTAACAATTCCAGGGCTACTCACTTCATAATTCGTTTGGGGTCAGCTACTTTAAATGATCCTGACGAAAATCGGATAACTTTGTCGGCGTCTACATATTTTCTGCATCCGGATTTTAATCCAGACACTCTGGACAACGACATTGGCATGATAAAACTGCACTTGCCTATAACTTTCACAGGTATTAATTTAAAAAATAAAATTAATTCTTAGTCTTGTGGTAATTTTTTTGTGTTTTGAATAGATTACGTCAAACCAGTTACTTATCTAGCGATGAACGACCTTTTGCCGAATACGCAAGTACGAGCTTTGGGTTGGGGCCAAACAAATGATGGTAAAAAAAATAAACTAAAAGTAGTGTATTTTTTTGTATTTATTTTATCACAGAGGATGCTGGTCTTTCTAATGAACTTCAAGGTGCCACAGTAATTACTTTAACTAACGACGAATGTAAAATAACTTATGGAAGTCAGGTTAAAGATAATATGGTTTGCATTGATGGAAATTACAATGAAGGAGCTTGTCACGTAAAATTAATTAACTAATTGTATGATTTAAGTACTCAAGATTTAAATGTTTCAGGGTGATACTGGTGGTCCTTTGGTTTTAATGCATCCACGGGGTTATGCAGAATTTGTAGGAATATCAAGTTTTATTAGTGCTAATGGGTGTGAAAGTCCGGATCCTTCTGGATACACAAGAGTTTATTCCCATTTAGACTGGATTAAAGGTGTTATAACTGATAATAGTATATAATTAACAAAACTATAAAATGTTCTTGTAAAAATGTAAGAAATTTTAGTAAATTTTTTCATTAGATATCTTTTTTTGCTGTAAACTATACAATTTTATATCTACAAAGTGCTTTTCTCGGTTCTTTTACATTTCGTTGCACACTGCATCCCAATTTGATTTAATTCGTTGCTGCTTCATGGAGACTATTATCTTCCATATTCATAACTTGCAAAGCCTGTTTGTACAGTAATACAATAATAGGGTCATGGAAGCGTGCCGCCTGTCATTTATGTGTTTTATTAAATGGCCAAGGATGCACGACAATGCATTTCATCTTTTTCTTCGCCTTCCTTTTCTCTTTTTTCATACTGATCTTCTATAAAATATCATTTTTGACATTCTTTCTCTATTCATCTTTTTATGTCAATCTCTCTAATTTAGCGAACGTAATTATGATTGGTTTCTTGTATATAGTTTATATTCCTTCTTGTTTCTTCTTCTTCTCCATTCATCCCCAGATTTATTCCTCTATACATAGTGTCTTAATATTTTTCTTTTTATCCTATCTAAAATTACTTCCTCCGATTTCTTCAGCATCTAAGTCTCACTTGCATAAGTTACACTAAGTCTAATGATTGTCTAGTATATTGTTACGGGTGATTAAAATCGGCGTGGGTTAAACTCGATTAAGCAAACAATAATTCCGACTCGACAGGAATGGATTTGACTAGACTCTACTTCTCCGATTGTCTGAGCTTCACTTGTTGTCTGAGACTGACTTGTTCCCGAAGGTAGCCTCTATTTAAACCCATAGTTCCGGGATCGAGGTCTTACTGGAACACCCATCGCGACTTCCGCTTCCAGGCTTTTCTTTAGCGAACGCCGCCTGATGAATCATCCATCATCGACGTACGTACTAAAATCCATTGGCGCCGTACCGGGGCGGTGTATGGGTTTATTTCGTAACAATATTCTAACTTTTGTTTTTCTTGATAGGTATTGTGACATCAGTAGTAGGGATATACTACCATATTTTTTACTTTCCGATGCTAATCTGTTCTTCATTCCCAAGTTTGCCTTTCTATTTTTATCTAATAATACTCCTAGGTATATGTATATTTTATTTTTCCGAATTCATAATTTTTTTCTGTTCGTAGTTGGTTTTCTTCGCCCCGTTTTGTGTTACCCATTCTCTTTCGTCTTCTTTTGGTTCATTTCTTGACCAAATCTTCTAGTTTTCTTTACTAGATTAAAAAGCATTGTACATACATCCTTTGCTTACTTGAAATTCTTCGAATGAAAGATTTTTGCAGATTATGTGGTTTATAGCATTTGTGCCGGTATTTCTTTTACTGAAAAAATCTAAATTATCACTGATCTGTTGGTTTTAAAACCTGCTTGGTACTCTTTCAGCGATTTTTCAACATCGTTTTTAAGTTTATTCCTTAGACATTTTGTTAGCCTTGATAGGACGTATCGACCATGGCAATTCCGGGATAATTTTCACTTAGTAATTTTTCTTCTTTTTGGTATATCGGCGTTCTCAGCGCTTGGGATCAGCTCTGGTAACTCTTTAGCACTTATCGTTAACAATGTTACCTAGAAATTGTTAATTTTCTACAAAAACCTTGAGCATTAAATACATTTAATGTGGATATTCTTTTATGAACAGCATCACTTGATATTTGCTGAGCATTTTTATTTCGTTTCAGAAAAGGTACTAATTTTTTGATTTACTTTTCTTCCATTCATGAAGTAATGAATCCTCTAAAGTACTCCAACCATCCTTGCGTGATTTTTATCTTGTTTTCGTTAAGTTGTTTTCACTTTGCCCCACATATATTTTTCACTTCTATTTTTATTTCTATATACTTCGGGTTCATTTTTTTTTCAGTATTGTTCGTTAGTATTTGATTTATTCTTATAATTTCTGCCTTTTGTATGCAGTCTTCGTCAAACCACTCTACACTATACTGTTCGTTTATCCTTTATGTAATAATAATCACTCGTAATTCTCAAGAAATTTTAGTTTGATACCGGACACCTCTCTACTGCAGTCAGTACGAAGTTATCGATATATAGTCAGTAGTTACATATTTAAAAAGATTTAATTTAAATCTTGATCCAGAACTTGTCTCTATGGAAAAATATTTCCAAAGTTACCATTAGCTCAACAAGCAGTTGTTATATACAAGTAGGGATACCCATTTTTACAAATGGGTATCAACATTCTATTTCTACATTTTCAGTAATTGTGTTGTAGCTTCCCAAAAGTGTAAATTCACATTAATACATTTGAAAGCTATAGTTTCTTCTTCTTCTCCTCCTTCTTCTTCTTAATTTTTTCTTCCTCCTTCTCTTCTTCTTACTCCTTTGGCCCTTTCGGAAATAGGACCTCCTCTTGTAGGTGCTTTTAGAGCAGTTGTTTAGGTTTTAGTCTTGACAGGGATGCTAAACCTGCGCAGTATGCACGTTCTTCGAATATCTCTTTATTTGGTCTTTTCATGTCTTTTGTCAGTTTTTACTTTCCAAGCGTAAGCGAAGGAAGTATTGTAGATCTTTCATGACCCCTAGAGTACTAGGAAATAGGTCTCCCGTTTCCATCTGTTCGTCTGTCTGCGATCTGTCCGAGTTTTGATTAGACAGATAATATCCGAAACTACTGGACCGATTGTTCTTAAATTTTGTGTGTGTCTTAACAGTATCGTGTAAATGGTAACACGTTAACCAAAATTTCTCTAGTCATCTCCAGCAACAATGTGATGAAGTCCGCTCATTATATTGCTTAATTAACATTACTAATTTTCTATGAAATAATACACTCCTATACTTGTGGTTTACGAATATATCTTGATTTTGCTTATTGCTCCATTTTCGCAAAAATTTGGGAATACTTTTATTATTTTATTTATTTTATTAACTGCTGTACGTGTCTTTGCAAAAATGTTGATGACTTCAGAATGGTTGTCATAAAAAATAAAATTCGTAAATTCAATTTTTTTAATTTTTCGAAAGCGCTGGGTTTGTTACAAGATTGAGCTTTATTATAATAATTAATTGTTTGTTTCCAGTTGTTTTCCACGTATTTGAATGTGTGCCTGGTCTTCTTTTTTCTACTACATGAAAAAACATTGTTGGCTAGTCATTGTTTGTTGTGCACATTCTTCTCCTGCTTTCCCATAGGTCCTCCTTTTTGACTTATTTAACCAAAATATGTTCATTATTATTCTTAGGCATTTGTTTTTGAATATTTTATGGTGACCGAATTTAAATCAAAATTTTCGCGCTGAAATTAATTAACAGCGGCGCGAAATCACATTTGAATAATTTGAATTTGAAGGAGAAAAAAAATCATCAAATCAAAAAATCGTTAAACATAGGCAACCAGGTGCACGGTAACGCTTGCTGGGTAGTTGGACAGTTAGTAGCGCTTGGGATTAGTTCTGCATGTTTAGTTAGAGGGCAGCTAGGTAGAGACAGAGGGCGGCATCGGGGAGCGACAGTCTGAATGTGTTTTTGTGAATGTAAACACGTGGTAAGTAGCTAGATTTAAATTAGCTGGTTTGGTAGTTAATAAAAAGGGAGGAAGCCTTTGTTTAACAACAATCAATCGTAACCGACGACGCCCAGTTTCCTCAACCCGCGCGCCGAATTCTTGCGGCCTTTTAATCCAAAAAGTGTGGACTTTCGTTCAACGCGAAACACGTGCTGTGAATTTGTTTTATTGTTTGTAAATTCACCGATCAAGTTAGTTTTTCTTAATCGTCAACTAGTGCTAATTCAATTTAACAACCAAGATTATTTCAATAAACCACTTACTAGGAGATTTCATCAAATTCATTTAGTCAGGATAATAATTCTTTGTTTAACGAACTAAGAATAAGTTTCTGGATGCATATACGTAAGTGTTACATTAAAACACTTCTCAATTCTTCACACAAGATTGCTAATAGTTCATTTACGGCAGCTAAATTAACAAAATTCATACTGCAAACTGGCGGGAGTTTAAAATAATATCTTCCCTTAGGCAGTTATCATCGTTATTATGATTACATCACCGGGGCATGCCCTCACAGCGCTAAAGATTGATTACTTTATCGAGGCATGTCCTCGCAACGATATAGATTGATTACATCACTGGAACATGTCCTCACAACGCTACAGATTAATTACTTCATCGAGGCATGTCCTCGCAACGCTAGAGATTGATAACATCAACGAGGCATATTCTTCGCAACGCTAAAATCCTACATTATCGAGGTATTCCCTTGCAACAATAAAATTGCATCACCGAGACGCTTTTTACTCGCAACGATAATTGAGTATTTTTGTGTTTGTGGATTATGTGTTTTGTTGGGGTAACCAGTTCGCGGTATTCTAAACTCTCAAAGTAAATTGTTTTTTTGAACTAACCAATCACTTGGATTATGACATAATTTGGCATAATGTAAACTCTTTGTTTGAATCGTTGGTAATATGTGTCAAGTATTAATCTCATGCAATTTTTCACCTCGTACAATATTTCTCAATCTCACAGTGTTAACCTCAGTAAATTTTCTTTGTTGTATAATTTTAATTGAACGTAAATTTCCATGATTTGCAGTTTTAACCTCACATAATATTTTTATCTGTACAAGTTTATTTCGCACTAGATCTTCTGTTTCATAAATCTTTGCTAAGTTTTGTTTTGTAAATATTTTGTTGATGAATGTTTCCACCATTTCAATTATTTGATGTCCAATTTTTATCTCACATAGGAATTATTTGTTGTTTAAAATTTCACAAGATTGTATGGCGAATTTAAATTTTATTTATTACTCTTTGAAACTTTAACACTCGTTCAATTGTTGTTAATATAAAGAATTGAACATTTAGCCGTAAATAAAGTATTATTATTATTATTATTATTATTAAATAACACAGAAAGCGTGGCAGAAGCGAAGTGCGGTTCCTAGTCGACCTGGCGAGATCTTATCGCGTAACCTGCACAAAGGGTACAGATTTGGATAGATTCAGGGGCGGTTGCGATGTTGTAGTGCTGTCGACTTCTGTCCTTAGTCGAGACCTAACTGCGGATCTGCGATCGTAACGGCCTAGTTTCGGACGGCATGTTCGTCCTAGAGATGTGTAATGTGCTATGCGGGTAGGCTTGCAATAGATAGAATCACCGTCGTGGGGGGAGAACAGCCTCGACCGGTAGCCCCAAACTCCGCTTGTGCTAGAACGCCCCAGGGGTACTTTTGTTGTGCTTCTGTTAACTGCCGTAACTTTAAAATTTGACGCCACACGCTAGTAATAACTTGTGTATTTGCATCCAGTTATTTTAATTCAGATTTTGCGTTGTTTTTATTAAATTTGTGATATCCAAATATTTGCATTGATTCCAAACAGATGTATAGGATTTTGTGTTTGTTCGTTTTTCATATGTGTATGTCTGTCAATTCGCGAGTGTCTTTTCTTTCATAATTTTTAAGGTGTTTCATTTGAATTGTAATATGCCTGTGAATATACGATAGGGAGTTTTGGAACTGAGGAGTGAATGCGAGATGGCAAATCCGTGTCGCCTTCGCTCACAGAGTCTTTCCTCCTGAGAGGGGTGCCATTTTAGCGCCTCCCAAAAAATGTGTCTATTATTTCTTGCGCTCTCTACTCGCCCGCAGTGTATGCTCACTTATATGAAAGAACGTCTTCCCGCCACTTAAAAAAAAACACACAACGTAGGTTTCCATTTTGTTAGACGATCACAGCCAAGGCCAAATTTTGAATTTTTCGCAGGCCTTTCAGACTTATTTTAAGGTCAATTTAAGGCGGGAAGGTTGGGTTATCACTAGAGAGCGGATTTCTGTCGGGCTAGACAAGGCCAAACTCGGTACGGCTCGTACGGGATGGGAATTCATTGCAGTTACGGGTTGCACTTCGTTTATTTGAGATTAGAATAACGCTGCTTCCTTGCAATCTGCTGTTAATTCTCATTCTCATTTACTTAGCCGTTTGATTAATAAATTGTTAATTGTATTTATGGAATAAGTGACGATTAAATTCAGTGATTACTGATTATTGTCTATTACCCGCCACTGAGTCCCGGCGATCCAGCGCGTCCCCACCTATAATTGTGACGTAGCCCGACAGAAATCCGCTGTCTAGTTATCACAGCTTGTATTCCTTTGGCGTGTGCTTTGTTTTACCTCCACCTCAACTTTCGGCTCCGCACATCAAAACGCTTTCTAATTTATTTTGACTTAAATATCTTGAGGTTTGTTTCTACTGTAATATTTTCTGCTGACCATATTTTGTTTAAAGGATTAAATGTTTTTCTTGATATCTCCATTTTCTGTTCGCGTTTCTCTCAGATCCTCCCCTGTCCCCCGTATTTCATCTATTTTCATCTATCTGGGTAACAATTTCTTCTTTAATGATTGATAGCGTTTGTTTCTTATATTTATGTGTAAACTTATTATTTTCGCTGCTTTCTTGGTTAGACGAATATCATCGATAAATTCTAGATTTTCTAAATTTGTAAAAACGCTCCAGTTTTTCCCTGTTTTATCGTCCGTAGTTTTTCTAATCACCCGTCTACCACAAGAAGAAATAACACTGGTGACATTACACATACTTGTTTGAGTCCTATTTCTATCTTCCTACGTTGTGATAGACGGCCTGAACAAGTTGACAAACACTAATGTTAAGCTATCGTATTGCTCGTAATTTTCGATTTCTTTTCTAGTTCTATTTTATCATTTTGACACTAATGTGACCCCAATTCCCTATTTATATTAATACTGGAGCTAATCCGTCAGAGTACACACAAATATTCAAACAAAATTCATACGTAGATTTTAGTAATAAAAACGTCTTTTTATAGAAATATACTCTTTATTCATGTTTTTTGTATTTTGTTACATCTTATCGAATGCCTGTAACATTAGAGATCCATTCCTTGTTGGGGAACACTCGTGTGTATCCAGAAGGATCAGTGCTTTCACAACCATTGGTGCTCACGAAGCTGGCAATAGCAACAATAAGAGTATGACCTCCTCCTACATTCTGTATCAAAGGACTGCCATTGTCACCCTGAAATTCAACAACATTAAACCAGTCACACCACAACGTCAAGCAAAACTCACCCTGCATATTCCCTCGTTATAGTTGCCACTAACGCACACCATATCATCTGTAATTACCGATCCATACACAAGTTTGCACTCTTCGTTGGTCAAAGTGGCTACTTGTACGTACTGGAGGTCGTTGTGAACGCCAGCAACCTCTGCACAAACACATTTGTAGTTTAATATACACGAAAAAAAAATTATTTACCATCGTTAATTTGGCCCCATCCAAGAGCTGTTACAGGAGCTGAGCCCGGCAGATCCGTTATTGGGAAGAAGCTGGTGGGTTTAATATAATCTGCAAAAAGTTACGTTGAAGGTAAATTTAACTCTGAAAAGATGAGTCCCACCGTCCAATATTATGGCCATCCTAAACATGATGAGACCCAAATTATAATCAAGAGTCTCTGGATCGAACAATGGATGGAACACTAGGTTATCTGAAGCCACGACAAGCCTGTTGGGATCGATGCCGCTCAATTGAGTTGATCCGAGTTGAACTCTTGTCATAGTAGCGCTAAAATTTCCGAGATGTAAAAAATAGTGTTGTAGTAATTTATGGTTTGATCTACCCTTGGATACAGTTAGCTGCAGTAAGGACCCAAAGGTTGCTGAGAAGAACCCCTCCACAGAAAGTAGTACTATCTGGTTTTGTTATATAGATGGCTGCAGCATAGGGGAATTGACCAGCTCTGGCATCGCTGCCACCAACTATACGAGGAGCTAAAATTTAAATAAATGTTAAGTTTTGTGAAAATTTAAAATCACTTAAAGTAAATATACCAATGTGTTTTTGGGTGGAGGGCTGGCTAACTGCCAACAGCAGGCCTACCGAGACTACAGCTGATATCTTCATCTTGTAGTAATGCAACTGTAAAGTCTAAGCAGTTGTTCTTATATACACACTTTTATTTTGATTTATCTTATCGTTTCATTCAAACTTTTTTACCATAAATATTTTATTTAAGGGTACTCAGAGGATTAAGAATATTGCCACAGTTCTCTTAAAAATGATAATGATAATAAGTAGGATTGGATTGTTTTCCTGTACATTTCTACTGTGTAATAAAAAGGCGAAAATCAATTGAGTGTCACGTGTAATCTTAAGAATACGTCTAAATCCGTCAATTGGTTCCACTTGCAGCTGAATAGAAGATGGTCATGGGCGGTCTTAAAAAACAGCTGATTTTTACGATAACCACAATGTCTATTACTTTATTAAGTACTTTTATTGTGATAGATTTGTCATGTGTTTCCTACTTAAGCCAGGTTATGATCAATTCGTGGAAATACTCATAGCTTTCTTAAGATCTGAGATCCAAGTTCAAGCCCTAGCCAATCTAGTTTGTTTAATTTTTTCCTATAAAATTATGCGGTGTCCTTTCAAATAAATCTGGGTGGAGTAAAAAGAAGTTCAGTATTTGTGGAATTTCCATGTCATACGCAATGATAGTTTCTTTGTTTTGTTTTGGGTATTTTATGTCATTGGGAAAAAAATATCAATTAATTTAATTATTTTAATTAGAACTTAAAAAAGGCTTTCCAAGTTGTAACTAAGTGTGACATTTGAATATCGATTTATTAAATGAAATAAAAATGCACTTGGGTTTTTGTGTTGACTTGAAAGATTACCGCTTTCTCTTAAGTGCTTTGTTTTGATAGATTAAGTTAGATAATAATTATTTCTTAGAAGTGCGAAGTATTTGTTGAATTGTTTACATTTTAGATAAAAGTATATAGTGTACTCGTTCATGGATATCTTAACAGAAACATAGATATTAGTATCTCCAGAGCATCTATGCAAATAGAGAACAGTCCAATTACAACATAAACGTAATGATGTTAAAGTATCATGTCCACGTTATATATACATTATATTACTTATTTTTTTATTGTGTTATAAATTATTAAACGATAGTTATTTTGGTGTTATAAAACGTTGTTTCTATTACAACAGTTTTTCTTTTCACTAAAACTTTTATCTACATCTTTGATGCCTTCAAGGTTTTTACATTATCTGCAACTACCTGATATTTGACCCATGATATTTTCGCAAAGATCTTTTTCTCTTTTTTCTGCTTCTTGCAATCTCTCTTGTCTATCGTTTTCGACAGTTCCATCAATACGTGCAGTATTTGTATGTAATATCTTTTGCTTTTATCTTTTATCACTTTCTATTGTATATTAATTTAAACGATCTCTTTTGCTCAACTTCTGCTTTTCTTCGGTTTCATCACTCTCTTTTTGTACTAAAATATATTTTAATTTTATATGTATTTTATACTCTTCCTTAAAATATATCGAGACTTTTTTCAGTAATGTGCTTTCCATCTTTTTAGTACTTTAGTAGGTACCCTTTTTCGTTTGTCTGTCGTCTGTCGTCTGTCGTTTGACTGTCTGTCTGTCTGTCTGAGCTCTGTTACATGCTATAAGTACTTGACCAAATAGACTCAAACTTAAAGTAATTCTTATATTATTCCCTTATGTGTTTAGATACATTCAGTTTTGTTTTCATCTACTTTCATTCATAGTTACGTCTTGTATTACGTTCTTTTTAATTATTGTTTACTGAATAATCTTTGGACTTCTTAAATTTTCGATTCTTTCTCTGCCGTTCACTGTTATTTACGATTTCTGTTAATGTCTTCTTTTATTTCTTCATTCGTAACCACAAAGTGGTTAATCCATGTAACTATACTATTATTTCTGTCAATTTCTTTTTCTTTTTGTTTATGTATTCCTATAACGCTTTCTTACCCTTTCGGACATTCGAATTTGTTAGCACATGATACATTAGTACTTCTTCCGTGTTCTCCTTCCTTTTCCTAGTTCTTCCCTCAGTTGGTTTCTGGTTTTTTCTTCAGTTTCTCCATTTTTTTGGCAATTTTTTAGAAGCAAATTTTTCAATTTTGGCCAATTTTGGAAATTTAAGTAAAGATATTTTCTTATGAATTTCTTCCAAAAGTAGTTTCGACCTCATTTTTCCTACAATTTTTTGTCCACTAAAATATTTCAATTTTTTACATTTAAGAAAATATGTATGTGTTTTCAAACCGAATATTTATAAATCCTGTACCGAAAGCATAAATACGCTATGTTTTGAAACCAACAGGATGAAATCTAATTCCATAATTTTTCGAGAATTTTTTAACAACTTTTCCAAAGCAAAAATTTTTCAATATTCCCCTCATGTAAATTTTGACCAGAAAATTTCGGAGAATTTTTGACAATTTTGAAAAACTAAGTAAAGACATTCCCTTACAAATTTCGACCTCCAGAAGTTAGTTTAGCCCTCATCTCTTCGATACCTCCTACAATTTTTGCAGAATCGTCCACGACATATTGCAATTTTTTGGATTAAAAAACATATATTTTCAAACCGAATATTTTTAAATCCTGCACCGAGAGCGTAAACACCCTATGCTTTGAATTTAGCAGAATGAAATTCATATCCCATAATTTTTTGGAAATTTTTTGACAACTTTTCCAACACCAATTTTTTTTAACATTTCGCCCAGAAAATTTCGGGCAATTTTCGATAATTTTCGAAATTTAACCAAAAACATTTTCTTATAAATTTCGACCTCCAGAAGTTAGTTTCGCCCACATTTCTGCGATAGCTCCTACAATTTTTCCAGAATCGTCCATGGCATATTGCAATTTTTTGGATTTTATATTTTTTCAAACCGAAGACTTTGTTTTGAATCCAGCAGGATGAAATCTACATCCCATAATTTTTGGGGAATTTTTTAACAACTTTTGCAGTACCAAAATTTATCAGTATTTTGCCCTATGAAATTTTAGGCCAGAAAATTTTGACCCATTTTCGACAATTTTCGAAATTTAATTAAAAACTTTCCTTATAAATTTTGACCTCCAGAAGTTAGTTTGGTCTTTATTTCTTCGATAGCTCTTACAATTTTTCCAGAATTATATTATAAAATATTGCAATTTTTTGGATTTAAAAAACATAGTTTCAAATCGAATATTTGGAAATCCTGCTACGTTGTTTTAAAATCAGCAGGATGAGGTCCATATCCCATCGGAATCCCTCAACTGTCTTTCTTTAAGAATCTGAAACCTTCTAGGGGCCCCCAACTGTTTTATTTTTTATAATATGAAACCTTCTCAGGGGTCCTAATTGAATCTAAATACTTTAAGGACTCAAATATTAAAAAGATTTTTAAAATTCTCTTCCGAATCGAAAATCCCAAAAACCTAAAAATCGTAAAAACTGAAGAATGCTCCTTTAATTTTTATAAATCCTACAAGTATTAGGGGTCTTGAGCACCCTAATTATTATCTTATACGTCTCAGAGATTCTAAAGATTACAGAGATTCCAAGAATTTCAAAGATTTCAAGACTCTTGGGGTCTATTAATTTTAGAAAATCTGGAAATATTTAGAAAGTGTGAAAAATCTGGAAGACCTAAGAATCTTGAAAACTGACGAAAATATTGAATTCTGGCATATCAGAAGACCGATATTTTTATAGCATTTAGAAAATCTGGAGCTTCTGGAAATTCTAAATATTTTACTGAATTTCAGTTTAAAATTTTCTCTAAATTTCAAAGATTTCGAGGATTTCAAGAGCGCCAAAACTTTAAGGAGTCTAATAATACTAAATTGATATCTGTACTCTTGTTAAAATATTAATGACGTTATCAAAAAAAAAAAAATGTACGGAAAAACTAACTATAAAGATTAAAAAAAAAGAATGGAAAAAAATCATAACAATTAAGCTTGAGATGGATATGGGTGGGGCTTAATTTTTGATTGATTTTTACTTCCCGAGCGTAAGCAAAGGAAGTATTGTAATCGAGTCCGTCGGCCGACTCTCTACTTTTACGTTTTCTCAATCTTTCATGACCCCTAGAAGACGAAGAAATAGGTCTCCCATTTCCGTCTGTCTGTCCGTCTGTCCGTCTGTCCGTCTGTCCGTCTGTCCGTCCGTCCGTTCGTCTGTCCGTCCGTCCGTCTGTCCGTCTGCCGTCCCGGATTTTTATTAGACAGATAATCTCCGAAAGTACTCGACCGATTGTTGTGAAATTTTGTACTTATATTAAGAATATCATGTAGATGGTAAAACGCTAACCAAAATTTGTCTAATCATCCCCACCACTAATGCGATGACGTCACTTCAAAATTGTACATAGTAAATGGGTTTTCAATTGTATAAAATAACATAGTCCTACACATGTAGTTTACAACTCTGAATCGACTTTTCACCCGAAACGTCCAGATTTTTGGAAAAAAAATCAAAATTATAAAACAACATTTTGAAATTTAATTTTTAATCTGCTAACCAGAATGCTTTGAAATGTTGCAGATGTTTTAAGGCTATAAAGAGCATCATAAATCTTTAGTCAAAAAATATTTGCTTATCCCCTCCAAAAACTTGATGACGTCAGCTCAAAAGTTTGTGGAATAAATCATATCTAAAATGTACAAAATATGATGAGTCTGTACTTGTGATCTATTGGATTTGCATATACAGGGTGACTCAAAAAAATTAATGAATGCGTAAATTTATTTTACTGATTTACTCAGAAACTACACAACCGAATGCTTTGAAATCTTGCAGATGTTTTAAGGTTATAAAGAGCATAATAAATGTTTAGTCAAAATATATTTGCTTATCCCCTCCAAAAACTTGATGTCGTCAGCTCGAAAGTTTGCCGAATAAATCATATCTAAAATGTACAAAATATGATGAGTCTGTACTTGTCATTTATCACTCCATTCATATTTTTTGGATTTGCATATACAGAGTGACTCAAAAAAATTAATGAATGCGTAAATATATTTTATTGATTTAATCAGGAACTACAAAACGGAATGCTCTGACATCTTGCAGATGTTTTAAGGTTATAAAGAGCATAATAAATGTTTAGTCAAAATATATTTGCTTATCCCCCCCAAGAACTTGATGACGTCAGCTCGAAAATTTGCCGAATAAATCATATCTAAAATGTACAAAATATGATCAGTCTGTACTTGTGATCTATCACTCCATTCATATTTTTTGGATTTGCATATACAGGGTGATTCAAGAAAATAAATGAAAGCGTAATTTTATTTTACTGATTTACTCAGGAACTACAAAACCGAATGCTTCGAAATCTTGAAGATATTTTAAAATTATCATAAGCATGGTAAATTTTTGATCAAAATGTATTTGGTCGTCCCCCCTAAAAAATTTATGACGTCACCACAAAATTTTGCTGAATAAATCCTATCTAAAATGTACAAAATATGGTGAGTCTCTTCTTGTGATTTATCATTCCATTCAAATTTTTTCGATTTGCATATACAGGGTGACTCAAAAAAATTAATGAAGGCGTGAATTTATTTTATAGATTTAATCAGGAATTACAAAACCGAATGCTTTGAAATCTTGGGAATATTTTAAAGTTATTATAAGCATGGTAAACTTTTGTTCAAAATGTATTTGTTCATCCCTCCTAAAAAAATTGATGACGTCACCCTTAAATTTTGCTGAATAAATCCTATCTAAAATGCAAAAAATATGATGAGTTTGTACTCGTGATTTATCATTCCATTCATATTTTTTAGATTTTCTTAAGAGGTGGTTCAAAAAAAATGAATGAAGTCAATTTATTTTATTGATTAAATTAAAGGCAACACTTATTATTAGTATTACACCCCAACCAACCCAATTTGGTAGACACAAAATTTGTTAAAGGAAAAACTCGGTTGAAACATAAGGGTAGCACGCTTATTTACATCGACTTTAACATTACAGTCCTGCATTTGTTTTATGCGCTCACTTGATTCCGCGAATGTGAAATAGACATGTTTATAATCAACCAATTGTGAATTTCACCGTCAAGAATTAAAATAAAACCCAATGTTTTATATAATAAGCGGAAGTCGAAGCAATAAAACCGATGGTCGTTTTGTTTACAGTTTCTCTGTTTGACTCTCACGTATGCTGTTACGCTTGTCATCTTAAATTAAGAATGTTTATACATAAACGATTTTCAGTTGCCGTATACGTGAGTAAATTGTTTCGTTATTTTATTGATTATAAAAAATCAATATTCAAAACGACCGAATTCATTTTCCCGAAAATTTCGGAATACAATAATTTTATTCTTAGTATTACACTACATCTATCCCAACTGATATACGTGTCCTTGCAAAAATGTTGATGACGTCATCGCAATTTTTTTTAAATTCCCACTACAAAAATGTAATGAGAAAAAAACACAATAGCCATGCAGTCGTCAAGTTTCCGACAGCGAGGGAAGTACTGTCTAAACTCTTTAGACCAATTTTTTTCTTTATGTACATGGTATTCTTTGAACAACACGATCTCGAAAACATGTTTTTGTTACTTTTAGAGAACTAAGGCTTCTGCAATTAAGCTCCGCCCCCTTCACTCACGACGAATAAAAAAAATCGTCACAATTGACATAGGGCGGGTGGGCGGGGCTTACATTTTGCCTTTTTTTTCTTAACATATATAGCCATTTTTTTCACAACAACAAACTTAAAACATGGTTAAAATGGTACATTTTTGCAAGGAAATATGGATTTTGCAATTATGGGGCGGAGCCTAATTGCAAAATCTATATTTCGTTAAACAAATTTTCCATTTTATACATGTTTTAAGTTTCGTGTTGTGAAGGAATAGTACACATATTAAAACAAAAAGGCAAAATGTACTTCTCCCTGAGAATTTTGCACAGAAAATTTCCGCCAAGTTTCTAAAATTTTCGAAATATAGCTAAAGATATTTCCTTAATAATTTCAACCTCCCAGAAGTTAGTTTCGTCCTCATTTCTTCAATACCTCTTACAATTTTTCCAGAATTGTCCAATGAAATTTGTCAGTTTTTGGATTTAGAAAAATGTATATTTTTAAACCGAATATTTTTAAAATCTGCACCGAGAGCATAAACTCTCTGTTTTGAAATCAGCAGGATGAAATCCGTATACTTAATTTTTTTAACAACTTTTCCAAACCAAAATTTTTCAATATTCTTCCCACCAAGAATTTCAAAAAGAACTAGCTAATCAAAAAAACTGGTCGAAGGTTATTTCGATAGGATTTCCCTCGACCTTAAAGTACAATCCAGCTTTTTAAAAAATTATGAAATTTGATTTTGAGAAATTGTATTAAAATTTGTGATAACACTGATAACCTTTATACATTAAAAGAAATTAATAATAAAGTACCAGTGTAACAAACTATAAGACACTCTATATATTTTTGGACACCCTATAAATGTGTATTGACACAACATCCGATTTTTTAATACATTTTTTAGAGATTCCTATAGAGCTTGTTTTTCTGAGTTCATTAATGTATCTGTACTTTAATCACCCATACTGTGCCACTGTGTTTGATTCGAACACTCCCATGCAACAATGGAAAGAGCGCGATCTTTGGGTTACAAGTCCGAAGTCGCATACTTAAGCAATGAGGTTATACCGTGTGGTAGCTCCGATTATACTTAAAAACTTGTAGGCGTATTCAAAAACGACAAGTATGGGGGTATATTATTTTATAAAATTTAAATCCTACTTATTACGTAAAATTCTGAGAGAACACATTGTTAGTGGAGGTGATTAGGCACTTTTGGTTCGCGTTTTACCATCTCCACAATAATTACAACATACATATATTTGATAACAATCGATCCGTTAGATTCGAAGATAACACGTTTGACACAGACGACATATCGACAAACAGACAGACAGACAGAAACGAAGAGCGAAAGAGCAATAAAAAACACGATCAAAATGGTGAGGTGTATTCCACAAGGATCGGTCCTTGGCCCGTTACTCCTTCTACTTTATGTAACCGATCTACTTCATGTCCTGTGTACCATTTCTTCATTTTCTGATGACAGTAAAGATAATGGAAACACAGAAAGACCTTATGTGAATATTTAATATTTTTATAAACACAATTAATGCTTCACATAGTATTCACAACATTCTCAATCCAGTCATGATAAAAGAACGTTCTAGTATAGCCCGAAGGATCTGTACTTTCGCACCCATTTTGACTTATGAAGCTCGCAATACCAACGTGTTCTTCACCACCACTCGCGGCATGTTGAACCAAAGGGCCTCCAGTGTCTCCCTGCAAATCAAAATAACGGTTTCTTGTATTATAATTGTAATTAACGCTATACTAACTAGACAAAATCCTTGATTATAATTTCCATCCACACACAACATGCTGTCTTTAATCTGTTGTCCAAAAATTGCTGTACACTCAACATTGCTTATACTTGCGAGATAAACATACTGAAGGTGTTCAACTAGATTAGGATCGGCTAAAAATAAATGTTGAAACCGTGTGTAAAAATCGGTTTGAATTAAAATTTACAGTCGCTTCTTTGGCCCCAACCTATTGCAATTCCGGGTGCACTTGTATCAAAATTGTTAGAAGCAAAAGGTACAGGTTGAATATAATCTAAAAAATATATATTAAAGTGATAAGTGTGATTCTTCACTTGTCCAATTTAACCTGTAAATGTTATAGGCAAACGAAATTTGATAAGACCAATATCGTTCTCTAATGTGTTGGGATTATAATCAGGATGAACCACATATATATCTGTAGACAGTAGAAGTCGATTTGGATCCGCTTCTCTTAATTTAACTGAACCTAACTGTACGATGAATTCTATAGAACTGAAAAATTGGTGTCCAGTAGTGAATATTATATTAAAAAAAAATGTTTCTTACTTTGCAACGCAGTGTCCAGCTGTAAGAACCCACTGATCATTGATTAGAGCTCCTCCACAAAAGTATGTTCCATCTGCTGTAGTTTGATAAATGGCTGCAGAGTATGGAAATCGGGAAGCAGGAGCTCCAATACCGCCGATTATTCTGGTGGTAGGCCCGATTTTGGTAGAATTATTTAGATTATTGGTGCCATTAGCGTAAACAAGTAACACAATGAAGTTGAAAATAAAGCCCAATGTTTGCATTTTTGTTATTTGACGAAAATATCAAAACTAACACGGGAGGTAGTTCGAACGGGAAAAATTTTATCTTATCGTTGAATTTGGACGTTTATTTATGGTAAGTAAAGAATGCCTTGTCGGATAAACATTTTTTTGGAGTGAGTGGGTTGGGATTATAAATTTGAGTAGGGAACGTGGAGAAAATATTGGAATTTTCAAAAATTATTATTATATGTGTTAATATTTTTGTCGTCAATTGTTATTAAAAATTGTGAAAATTTATATGGTGATATACACCAAAAATCCCACCAAAATTAGTGAACACAAAGTTAGAACTCGCGAAAAATTCAAATTTGGACTTGTACTGTGATCGACAACTAAAAAAGACCCTAGATTGTGAGACTATTGAGAACTTATTTCCCATATGCAAAAATCTTCACCAGCTTTTAAAAATGAAATCAAATGTTGCAAATTGCAACAAATATTTGAATATCACAAATTTAAACAGGCAAACAAAAAAGAGAAATCTGAATCGAAGTAATTGGAAATAAACAATTTAAATGCCATAAAAGAAATATTCTAAATCTCGAGTGAGAAATTTATGAAGTGTGAATAATATAATAGGTAAAATATTCAGAACATTTAGATACATAGAAAACCTTAATGTGAACTGTGAATTGAAAAAACAGTATGTCAAAAATTACACGTGTTCATGGGATAGTCAAAGTTTTATATCTGTCCGATTAGAAAATCATTAATAAACTGATTTTGTATTAATTACACTCGTTTATACAAGGGGACCGACATTTTATAAAAATTGAAACTGCATGTTTCATAAGATAAAAAAATTAAAACAGAAAATATCACTCAACATACAAGAAAAGCTACATCTAACGTAGGAGTAAATATTTAAAAAAATACAGAAACATAATTTTTTCTTTATATTATTTTTTCAGATATCATGGGTTCCAAAAACCTTATTATTACTTAATAGATCTTTAGTAAACTCACTGCAGCTTAAATCAAAACTTACCGTAGTTATGAGTTTTGTCACATTTCCATAAATCTATCGAAATAAGAAAAAAAAAAATTCTAGATGAGCATTTGTAGCAGGTAACCATAAAGTGCCAAGTTGCCGTTGATAGTAACTTTGATGTTCAACTTTTACCGTATTTAAGGGGGTTGTAGAAGAAAAGTGGAGGATTTAACTTGATTACTACAAAAATTTACGATTTTAGACATGTTTCAAGTTTCTTGTTGTCGAAATAAGTCTACACATATTAAAAAAAAGGTAAAATTTAGCCCCACCCACCCACCCTTTTTTCAATTGTGATGATTTGTTGTTGTTTGGAGTTTAATTGCAACATCATTATTATTTCTCTAGAAGAAATTACCATGTAAGACATGTTTTTGAATATCGTGTTATTCAAAGAAGAAAAAAATAAAGCCACCCATATCTGCCCTGATCTAAATAGTAGTGAAGTTTTCATTCGTTGGCAGACCTAATGGCGGAGCCTAACTTCAAAACCCATATTTCCTTACAAACATTTTCCATTTTAAAGGCATTTTGAGTTTCTAAGAAAAAAAAATCGTCACAATTGAGAGGGGGTGGGCGGGTGGGGTGCATATTTTGCCTTGGTTTCTTAATATATATATATATATAGTATTCTTTGAACAACACGATACTCAAAAACATGATTTTAATTTCTCGTAGAGAAATAAGAATTTAGCAGTTAAGCTCTTGGTTCACAGCGAATAAAAAAAAATCATCACAATTGAGATAGAGCGGATGTGCGGGTTTACATTTTGCCTTTTTGTTTTAATACGTGTTTTCATCAGATGAAACATAAAACATGTTTAAAATGAAAAATTTGTGTAAGGAAATATCGGTTTTGCAATTAGGTTTAGCCCCATAATTACAAAATCCCTATTTCCTTGTAAAAAAGGTACCATTTTAACCATGTTTTAATTTTCTTATTGTGAAAAGATAGCTATGTATATAAAAAAAGGCAAAATATAAGCCCCGCCCACCCACCCTATCTCAATTCTGATGAGTTCTTTATTCGTCGTGAGCCAATGGGGTCCAGGTTAATTGAATTTTAGTTAGCCTTTTACGTTCTACACAATATTCCTAACATACATTTAAAATTCGTCAACAATCGGTCGAATAGTTTAGCAGATTATTTGTCTAACAAAAATCGACGCGGACGACAGACAGACAGGCAGACAGAAACGGAAGATCTATTTTATTATACTCTCGGGATCATAAAACGTCGAAAAAACATTCGCCGTTCATTTGCCGGATGGAGCTTTTTACAATATTACCTTAGCTTAAAGTCAAAACTTAGTTTCAGAATTTTCAAAATAAAATTCTCTCTTACCTGTTGGGTGAACTTCAATACCTATAAAAACTGGTGTAAAAGGCCGACAGTCACTGTAATTTTGTTCACGTTCTGTATACTTTGACAGTACTCTGTATACGGTATAATGGAATATTATTTGTTTAGTAGGTTAATGGAAAAATTATTTTGTACTATAAGTACACGACGTTCCATGTATTAGGTACATACATACACAATGAAAAGGAGTAATATAAGTCCATATATATACAAAAAATTAAATTTCATTCTCCATGTTATATAGTGCACCAACTAAAATCTACGAATTTTACTCCTCCACTACCCTTGTCAACGAATAATACATCCTATTAGATGTTCTAGTTTAAGATGCTTCTCTTTCGCAAATGTAGATTTTGGAAAAATCAAAATCATAAAACAACTACTTTCTTTGGAGCACTATACTATACTTATGTAATAATTTTTCCGTCTAGTATGTAAATAAAAACAGTGTATTTGTTGAAAAGCCAGCTTCGGTTTTTTTGTTTTTTTTTTTGGTTAATACAAAACTTTTCTATGACAAACGACAAAAAAGATTAGGAGAAAAATTGTAAAATAGAATGTATTTAAGTAATGGTGGTCTAGGAAATAATTTGTGGTCAATAATTAATTTTATTGTCGGGCTTTATTAATTCCTTCAGCTAAGTATTATTAAAAAATAACTTGTACTTAGGATTATTGCGGACACAGATATTTTCACAAGAAGTTTGAAAAAAGGATAATTTTATAGATTTACTATTGTCAAATTTCTTTTGTATCCGGGCGGTAATTTTAAAAGGTCTTTATGGTTATTTATTGTGTTATATATACTTGTCCTTTTGAAGTGGAATTTATATTATTGCTCCACAATATAAACTGAGCTACAAAAAATATTAATGACGACTTAGTTAATTTTCTATTTTTAAAAAACGTAATCAGAACGTAAAATAAAATACATTAATCCTTCGTTTTTATCTTCACATGCGTCATCATAACGGAAAACGACAATTTAAAATAATAATTCCACTTAGCTGAAGCCACTATTGACCCCATTTCTACTTAAGCTTCTGTTTTACGGTTGAGGATTATCGATGATAATAAACTATTAGGAGGGTTTAATGACACCAATAACTACAATGTTAACAAAATTTTATAAGCGATTAAATTCCCATCTATCACTTTAGATTTCATTCATTTTATTACTGACTGGTTAGATAATTAGAGATAAACGTACTTTGGTACCTAGTAACAGTATTACGCTATATTGGTCACACTCTTAATCCAGTCGACATGATCAAACACTCTTTCATATCCGGAAGGATCAAGGCTTTCGCATCCGTTGAAGCTTAGAAAGCTTGCAACCGCTACGATCACTGGCTGACTGTCTCCAGTTTGGACAAGAGGTCCACCAATGTCTCCCTTAAATAAAAACATATGTTTCTAAAAGTACTTAAGTAAATTACTTTGACTTACAATGCATGTGCCTTCGTTGTAAGAACCCATGGCACAGACCATGCTGTCTACAATTTGTGAACCGAAGATATTTTGGCAATGTTCGTTCAGCAAACTTACAACCAAGACTTTTTGAAGGTTGTCAACAGGTCCAGAATGCTCTACAAAAGGTTGCTATAGTTTCAGTGAATTTAAATTTATTTTATACCATCGTCTGTCTGCCCCCAGCCCAGAGACGTAAGAACAGTATTTTCTGCTAAAACCTCGCTTGGAAGGGCAACCACGTTCACATAATCTAAAAAACTTTTAGGTAATTTTGAAATTTTGTGTTTAGTGTTTACCATTTAATCTCAGATCATCTGGAAGATTGATGAGACCAATGTTGTTGACGAAAGTTTCATTGTTAAAGTCAGGATGAACTACAGAAGTGGTCGCTGGGACAGTTACCCTGTTAACGTCTGTACTGGATAAACTGACCGAACCTAGTTGAATCACAAACGATACGGCACTGAAATTTATAAAATGAATTGTGGGTGGCTGTAACTTAGAGACGAATGTACTTTTGGACACAATGTCCAGCTGTCAAAATCCATCGTCTGTCGATGACAGCACCACCGCAGAAGTATCTACCCAGACTTGTCGTACTATAAATAGCTGCCATGAATGGGAATTCAGTTTCTTCAGCTGGCATACCGTTAATTATTCTTGGACCTATTAATAAGTCGTTTTAAAAAAATAGCAGAGGAATGTACCAACGTTACCTAGGTTTCTTTCGACGTTGTGAAGGGGTTTCTGAAAACATTAAGACGTGTCTGTGTTCAGCATAGAAAATAAAATAAATTACCTTTTGAATGTTTGCGCTCCATCCCGAGGCAAGGCAAAGGACCAAAACTACTAGAAGCTTCATCGTTATTTATCAATGGCTGATTGATTGTTCTCTACTAACACACTTGTGAAAATTTTTAAATGTATTCCTTTAGACACATGGTTTTATCTTATCATGGAACTATGAAATGTTTACTAACGAAGTTCTCTTTGGGGATTAAAATAAACTTACTAAAATTAATGACGAAAATGTTGTACAATATTAATTTAATTTAATTTTGACTGATTTTTATTAATTGAACCAGAATGTTCTTTTTTTTTAATTCGTCCATTGCTAAATCTTCTGAACATGTACAGATGTCACTGCCAAAATTTAAGTTTATCTACTTTTGTATAACTGATTATCTACTCCTTTATTAATTGTTTTAATGTGCACCTGACAGCTGGCACCGTATATCTCAAGTAAGATACAAAACGATAATTAACACAGATTTGGACTTAAGTATCATATTTATGCTGTCAAATATGTTCGATAATAATTTGCCTTTATTTCATCTACGGGTTTTATTTGATTTAAAGGTAACAACTTCTGCAAACTAAATAATATACTAAGTTGGGAACAAGCTGGAGACTCGTAGAGTGAAAATAATTTGAGAAGAACACATCAATGAAACTTAGGACGTAAGGGTGTCTCAATGGATCCGCGTTTATTGGTTGGCATGCCAATGTACTATCTCAAAATTTATTAACAACTTCAACATGATACTTATCAATCAAGCAATGTTAAAATAATATGTATCTAATTTTTTTAACAGTTTTGACAAAATTATAAGTTGTACAAGATTCGTATATTATTTATTATCACAAAAAATCTCTCTACGTTTTGAATTTCAACATATAGATCACAAGGTGTAGCGACCAAACTCTAAAATTTTTACTTTCCAAACGTAGCTCCGTCCGGCGAATCGCTACTTTCCTGTGGTATATTAGCGTATGAAAAATGGATCTTTCGTTTCCGTCTGTCGGTATATCTGTCGTCTGTGTAGATATTCATTAGACGGATAACCTCCGAAACTACTGGACCAATTGTTGTAAAATTTGATATGTATTTTAGGAATGTCGTGTGAATGATAAAATAAATATCTATAAATTCCTTATCCCACTTTTCAAAATTTAATTACCGTGTTTTCGATTGTATAGGTACATTTTTGCAAAAGAAAATTTTTGAAACCTGGGGAAGACGACCTTAAATGATTACAGTTACTGCTGGATTGTGACACTTTTAATCTACAGAGTGTTAATGAACAATCTGATGATGAAAATGATGTTTTTATCACAGAACAACAAAATCATTTACAAAATCAAGCACCAATGGGAAAGATAAAGATGAAGACAATGCAAAAAAGATGATAATAATGCAGAAACATAATCAGAAGAAAAACTATAGTCATTGCGGAATATCAGTTAGACGCAAATAATAAGCAGACTAAAGGATGGGAGACATCAGATCATGACGTACCATTAAATTTACGTAAGAAACAACTAAAGAAAAAAATCAGTCAAAGAAGCATTAACAAGTAATGTCAAATCGAGCACCATCTAAAAAACATAAACAAAATATTGTAACCTAAACCAAAAAGACAACTAAAGAAATCTGTTGAAGAAAAATGTTCTTAGAAAAAACTGAAATGTTTTCCGGGATTCAGTTTGAGATTTCAACGGTTGATGACATTACTAAAATTCCCTCGAATTAGGAACCACTGGACAAAAAGTACCCATGTCGTTACTATTGCTTCAATTATTGTTTAACTTGCAATCACAATTGTTTTTATGACTGTCGTAAAACAAAATCTTGATGTCAGATAAACCCGATGTCCATTTCGGTGGACACCATTTTTTTCCAAAAAACGTCCAGTAAAAAGTTTCAAAAAATCGCATTATACCTAGACTTTCATTACTTATGAGAATCCCTAAAAAATAATTTGATCAATACCTACTTTAAGCTCGGGTCTCAGGAGTAAAACCGACGAAGGTCGTACTTTGTAAGCCACGAACGTCATACTTTGTACATTCGAAAGATTGTACTTTAGAAATCACAAATGCTGTACTCTGCACATTTTTAATGCCGCACTTTACAATAATAAAATCAAAATAAAAATATGATGCATAATTAATGTATTTATAAGCTGGCAGAGATTAACAAAAAGTTTTCGAGTTTAGTAACTTGAAATACGTACAGTTGAACTACGACCAAGAAATATTATGCCATTGACAAATAAAGTGAATGATAAATGTGGGAAATTTGATCCTTGAGAAACACCTGTTGTAGATATAACACTTTAGAAACGATCATTTACTAAAACAACTTGTTCGCGACTTGAGGAAAAATCCAAAATATCCAGAAATTCTGTATATCATACAAGTATATATATGCAAATTATTTTTGTGATATTTATTTATTAACCAAAATAAATATGCTGTTTTAGCCATCTGGAAGTTTTTACTAGTATTCAGAAAGGAGAAAACTCATTATTATATATGTATTTACAATTTTTTGAGAAATTTTTTCTTGATAATATGTTCGCTTAGTAATCTGAAAAATTATTGGGAAGAAATGTCCCAAAAGGGGATACTTCACTGAAAAAATAAAACAACGACAAACTTCACTCTGAGTAAAGTTTGACCCAAATCTTGCATTCATGGTAGTCCTCCTGCTTTTGTGAAAAAGTGCTCCTCATCACTGTTATTTCCATTATTTATTATATATAATAAATCACTTAATTCAAGCATTTTTTTAGCTGCCTGGAAGTGGTTGTGGTTCACAAAAGTGGGAACAAGAACTTAGTGAATAATTATAGAGGTGTCAGTAAACCGTCTGTCTTTTCTAAGCTCTTGGACTTGTAACTGACAAGTTGTATTTCTGTAAAAAATGTAATCATTCATTTATTCATGGTAGGAAAATCTACCAACTCAAACTTATCTGAATTTACAAATTATTTGTTTCACAGTATCGTATCTGGCTATGAAATTTACATGCATATTAAGACGGCATTTCACCGCATAAATATCTCGAAATTGATAGATGAGTTAAAGGCCTTGGGAATGATCAACCCACTGTTAGGATGGATGGATTCATTCATATCTATCTGATCGTGTGTAACGAGTAAGTATTTCGAACATCAAGTCTCAGTTGATCGACGTTACCTCCGGCGTCCCACAAGGTGCACACATGGGACCATTATTATTTCTAATCTTCATGAAAGACATCAATACTTGTTTGCGGAATGGTAGCTTTTTGCTCTTTGCAGATGATCTGAAACTCTTCTATAGAATTGGCATTCCTGCTGCGTCAGAGCTATTGCAAAGCGACCTTTCGAGATTCGATCTATGGTGTGACTACAACAGCTTAAAATTAAATATATCTAAATGTAAAGTAATTGCGTTCTCTATGAAAAAAACATCGACTTCTCCATCATATTTTATAAAGCATGAAAAATTAGAGGTCGTTGAGTCAATAAACGATCTAGGTGTTACATTTTCTTCCAAACTTAATTTCAACATCATGCAACACACGTCTTCAGAATTAAAAAAGTGCTTCATTAAATTTCTCTCTTCTAAATTCAACATGGATAAAACCAGTAAATATTCGTAATTATTTCGGTTTGTCGCATTTATGTATTGGAAGAGATTATTTTGATCTTTGTTTTTTTTTCAAAATTTTAAATAATTCATTTAACTGTCCCAATATTTTATGTTTGTTTTCTCTGCGTCTTCCACCGTGTAACGTTAGAAATCCACTGTTATTTGATGTTTCTTACCACCGAACTGCTTATGGTTCTAGTTCTGTAGTTCCCAGATTATCCAATGTAGCTAATAATCTCCGTCATGACTTAGAATTTTTCAATGTTGCTTGTTCTACTTTCAAGCACAATGTAAAAACGACTCTTAAAATGTAATGTTTTGTTAAATGGTAAAACCGTAATAAATAAATTCTAAAAAAAAATTTCAATGAAATTCATTAACATTGTTGAAAACCAAAATATTTGACGACTATGGCTACCAAAATTAAACTTTTTGGGTTACTGACGGATCAACAAAATGTTTCCTAAAGTGGAGTCCTAAATAAACGATGTTAGAAATAGATCAAACTGGTCAAACACAAAGACGATTCTCAGCTTGGTCATGGCATTTCAGTGATTTCAGCAGAAGTAAATATGATGTTGAAAAACTTTTTAATATTTGGGCTAATCATTTTGATAACTTAGTTTTACGCACCAAGAAAAGAACAGTACACTTCGTTAGAATATTGCTGATTCTTATCACTCTCTTATCAAAATATGACGGTTTTTTGGCTCTTCACTTCCCCTCCAAGTAAGATAAGGTATGTTAAGTACCTCAGATTCATGAAAATGTCGTTAGGACAAACAATTTCACCTTAAACATTGCTGATAGGATTTGTATATGCTTTCAAGTGAAAAAGGTTACTAATCTTCGACTTCTCAAAAAAAAAACACACTTGATCGCACTTCATTTAAAATCTACGTGAATAGAAAAAATGTTTTAGGGATCTCGGTATGAAAGTTGTTTACATTACAGGAGTACGTTTTTTAAATGTTTTTTGGCAACGCAGTAACAAAGACATTGTAAGAAATATAGTAAAGTCAATAGATATCAATCAAACTTATTGCGAATTTTATAGTAATATTCCATTGTGAATATTAGTACGAAAAAAAAAAGAAATTGTCTTTATAGTAGTGATCGCTTATCTGGACAATTAAAGATAAAGTATTATACCAGAACTGTATAAAATGCAAAAACTCTAACTTTATCTATTTTGTTTCAAAATGTTCTTGCCCTTAATTTTTTGTTTGTGTTTAACTTTGTCGGTAGGACTTCCACAACAAAAGGTAAATCTACGTCATTTTATTTTGAAAAAAAGGTACAATTAAAATTTCTCATTGTTAACAGGATTCCAGAAATGGCATCGGTAACAAAGTGACGTCAAACTCTCGCATAAAAATAAAATTGATAACTTACAGGAAGTCGAATTATTGGTGGCCAGACTGCATTCGCTGGTCAGTTTCCTTTTCTAGCTGCCCTTAATATCCACACCAGCGATGGACTTTACTTTTGTGGCGGTGCCCTTCTAACTACATCGTGGTTAGCGACTTCAGGACACTGTCTTGATGGGTAAATAATCTAACGAAATACTTATTATTTTTTTATTATATTTTTTTTAGAGCTATTTTAATTAATGTTCAGCTCGGGTCTAACTCTCTTGATCCTAACGATTCTAACCTTCTTAAACTTACTACAGACAGTTATTTGATACATCCAGAGTATGACCCTCTTACTTTGGCTAATGATATAGGCCTTGTCGAGTTTCGTTTACCTATTACATATACTGGTTGGGTAGACTCAAAATAACGAGCAAATAGTAAAACCGAATTTTGTAGATTATATCAAACCGATCAACATGTTACCAGGAGCACCGTTGTCCGATCGTTCACCTCTCATAACAATGGGTTGGGGGCAAATAAGTGATGGTAAGAGTTCATTTGGCAAAACAACAAGCTTATACCTACATGTAATCTGTGACTATTATTTTCAGAGGATGCAGGACTTCAAAACAGAATCCAGTATGTATCGGTAGTAACCCTCCCTAATGCAGAGTGTAAGTTGGTTTATGGCAACCAAATTTTTGATACAATGGTGTGTGCAGAAGGAAATTATAATGAAGGGACTTGTTATGTGAGTTAAAATGTGTATAAATAATAGGACTGTTTGTTTATATACTTCATTCTTTAAGGGCGACACTGGTGGTCCACTGATACAGTACGTAAGCAGAGGTCAAGTAATGCTTGTAGCAATATCCAGCTTTATTAGTCAAAACGGCTGTGAGAGTACCGATCCATCTGGGTATACCAGGACATTTGATTATACGGCGTGGATCAGAAATAACACAGGTTTTGTGTAATCAAATGTGTACTTGTATTAAATAAAATACTACGACAATAACCTAGTTTTATTAAAAATAGTTCAAATTACCGCGTTGGTCCTTTATGAAGTACGGCGTTCGTATACGCTGTTAATACCAAATTTTAAAAATCTAGATACCTGGAGTAAAAAATAAAAACTAATTTATAAACACAAGTATAAAAAGAAGGTAACTTATGACATTTAAATAAGAATTACTAAGTATGCAAAATTTTAAAATGACGTCATCATATTGTTGTTGGGGACGATTAGTATTAATAAAGCATTGCTTCTTTATTTTTGTTTAAAAGTTTCTAGTTCAAAATATCAAGTCTGTTATTGTGCATTTTACAGTTTATAATATTTCACTGTCAATTTTTAACACGATATGAAAAGAAAAAATGGTCCGCTATAATATCGCTTATCTGGACAATTAAAGATAAAATTTGTACCAGAACCATATAAAATGCAAAAACCCGAACTTTATCTGTTTGTTTCAAAATGTTCTTCCCCTTACTTTTTTGTTTGTTTTTAACGTTGTCGGTAGGAGTTCCACTACAAGAGGTAAATCTACATTTAATTTGAAAATTAGGTACGATTAAGCTTTCCCATTGTTTAACAGGAACCCAAAAATGGCTTTGGTAACAAAGTGATCTCAAACTCTTGGATAAATAAAACCTCTAACTTACAGGAAGTCGAATTATCGGAGGCCAGACTGCATACGCTAGTCAGTTTCCTTTTATAGCTGCTCTTAATGTCCACACCAGCGATGGACTTTACTTTTGTGGAGGTGCACTTTTAACTAGGTCGTGGTTAGCGACTTCCGGACAATGTGTCGATGGGTAATTTATCTTACGGCGCAATACTTTTATTAAAAAGAGAGTGTTTCAGGGCTATTTTGATTAATATTCAGCTCGGGTCTAACTCTTTGGACGCTGACGATCCCAATGTTATTAAGCTAACTACAGACAGTTATTTGTTACATCCAGACTATGACCCTCTTACTTTGGCTAACGATATAGGCCTTGTCGAGTTTCGTTTGCCCATTACATATACTGGTTGGGTAGACTAGAAGTAACGAGTAAATGGTAAAACTGAATTTTGTAGATTATATCAAACCGGTCAACTTGTTACCAGCGGCTACTTTATCCGATCGCTCGTCTCTTGTAACAATGGGTTGGGGGCAAATAAGTGATGGTAAGAGTTCATTTGCCAAAACAACAAGCTTGTATGTAATCTGTGACTATTGTTATTAGAGGACGGTGAACTTCAAGACAGAATCCAGTATGTATCTGTAGTAAGCATCCCTAATGTAGAATGTAAGTTGGTTTATGGTAACCAAATTTTTGATACAATGGTGTGTGCAGAAGGAAATTATAATGAAGGGACTTGTTATGTGAGTTAAAATGTGCGTGTAAATAGCAGGATTGTTTATTTACATAATTCTTTCAGGGCGATACTGGTGGTCCATTGATACAGTACGTAAGCAGAGGTCAATTTATGCTTGTAGGAATATCAAGTTTTATTAGTCAAAACGGCTGTGAGAGTACAGATCCGTCTGGATACACAAGGACATTTGACTATGTCGCATGGATAAAAAATAATACGGGCTTTTTTTAATGACATACCTATGTAATAATGTTCAATAAAATGCGGTACAATTATCAACTAGTTTTATTAGAAATAGTTCTAGCTGATTATTGATTAATGCACTTTTTAGTACCACAATTTTATTAAAAAAGGAGCTTTTATGACATGCTATTAAAGCTGTTAGAGCAAATTTTATATTTAATACTAATACCCTATCTTAGATTAAATTGTGTAATAAAATTTAAGCAGAACTATTTTAGAGTGATACAGTGGAAACTATTGCAGCCAGTACGTATAAATTCATGAAGCGACGGCCTTAATAGCAATAATAAAAAAAGAGTGCGTCGACCCAGGGACGCACCGATGGAATTTTAATTCTGCGTTGTCAATTTATATGAATTAAACACGTATACTCGGCGAAGTCATTAAGTTTTTCTTAAGAAATAAGAAAAAACAGAGGAAATTAATCATTTTGTCCCATTGGTAAAATTTTATAAAAGGCACTTTTTTTTTCTACAGCACCTCACCTTCAATGCTTCCTTTTGGCACAAAAAAGTTGTTAAATTTCCCATTCGTCCACTCTTTAATGAGAAGCTGTTCCCAACATAACCTAACTTTTTACAGTCATCAACACCCGTGAGTGGAACGTCAGGTTTTTAATGGACATACGGGCGCTTCCCTGCACCCCATTACAACCACACTCCTAAACGTGAAACTTCTTACCCCGTGGATCATTTAGTTACTGAAATTCGTGCGAGTTAAATTGCGTGTGTAGTTGGTTGCCTACATTTGGTGCAACTAATAGGGTGGAAACCACAGGGCGAACACTAAATATTTTTTTCTGCCACAAGGAAGCATTTGCGCAACTTTTGAAGGTAAGGAACGTGATCAGGGAGTGATGTAGAAGAGTCTTGCGTAAAGAGTTTATGCGAAATCGAGAAGTGCGTTTTGTAAAGTTTCGCCATCAGTGTTATTGTTATAGAACTGTCCTTGTATTTACCAACAATATGTTGTTTGTTAAAATGTACGTAACTCTAATAAATACATACATACATATGCAATTAGCATAACTGTTCTTTTATAATTTGAAACCATCGCATCGCATTAGGACATTCAGGTTTACCATCACAACTGTTGCGCCTCCAACAGTCCTTTACGCCAAATTCTGTGTTCACTTCACTTCCATGCATTTCTTATGGAGAATTCAAAAGCTGTCGTCTCTCTATTATCTCTGGTCAAACGAACAAATTTTATTAAATAGTTGGAACATGGACCGTGGCGCCCTCTCGATCACCCCACGCTACTTTCGCTTGAGTTGCTAGTTACTACCGCTTCGAACAGGAGGCGCTGCCCGTCAACGCCTACGCACACTAATCGCCTTACCGTGACTTCGACACCGACACCGAGCTCGTAGCTCGAACTCGACATCCTAGTCGTATACGTGTTCTACTTATAATACGAAAAGAACGAAATTAAAAGTCCAGTAAGTCTCCTATCCAAAGCAGAAACTCTTTTTGGGTCACTATTTTCTAAATAATTGAAATTTGTTTCCCAGTGGTCTAAATACCATAGAATCTACATGGGAGATTCCTGTTGTTTTAAAACCGTTGTTGTTGTAGCTACGTTTAAAAATGCGCCTAGAGGTTGGAGTGTATGTGGTGGTAAACAGAGAATCACCACTCCGTTTCTCTGGCCATATCGATCAGTTGAATGTTCTTTGTGTGGGTCGAATGACCATTCAGAATGAGAAGAACAAGATACCCCTTTTTTGCATCAGAGAACTTGATTTTTGCAAACCATACAAGAAATAACGCTGCGACCATCCAGCCTAATGAGTAATGAGTGTACCTCAAACCGAGGAAAACCGAGCTTAAATTCTTGTTTCTTCCTTTTCATCGGAAAGACAAGCATGGGGAGCATAAATGATCCCGATTCATCTCATTCCGCTTAAATTACTGTCCCTACCTGCCACTTGCGCTTAACGACTATAATCTTGGAATCACTTTTAGGATTTACTGAGACATTAGTTTCGTTGCAGGTAAATATCTTGTCTCCTGTAATATTATTTTGTATACCCAGTTATTATACCACAAATTGTGGGGTGTGGGGATATATTTCAAATACTGCGACGAAATTCCGATGACACGTGGGGGTGGCGTGCCTCGGTGCCACGCTTTGGGCCGACTAGTGCCTCTGAAATACAAACACGACCGATCTAGGCTTATGTGGGCACTTTAATGCCACCGGGGTGGCGCCTTCTGTCGGGAGCGGTGATTGCTCGGGCGCCAGCTTCCTCACGCGGGAGGGAGCACCGAGGTTGCTCTGAAGCCGGAGACGCGGATCTCCAGGGGTTCGGTGAGCACCCGCCAAAACAAGAAAATAAAATAAAATTCAATTGTCGTTGTTTTTATGAATAAAATCATTCACAAATGGAAAAAAATGAACATTGGAGAAAAGTTTGATAGACTAAAGATCAACAATTCTTGAAGCGGTTGGAAATTTGGAAATATTGCAGAAAGCTACATAGAATCTTCAGCTCAAAGTAAAACGCTAATTGAAAAACAGATTTTGACCGATAATGGAAATAATGAAAATGACGCTTCAACCAGCAAAGACGAAACTAGCAAAACCATCCAGGTTTCAGTCGTTGGCAATAGAAATAATGAATTCTTGATCACTATTCCCTAGAAACTAAAGTACCACTTTATTACTAAAACGGGGGAATAAAGTACCATTTTATTCCCGGTTGGGTGGAAAAAATAAGAGTTTTTTAGAATTTTACTATATTTATATATATTTTCTAAACGTATTTCACAGTTCTTAGGCGATGCCTGTAACGTTCTTAATCCAGTCAAGATACAAAAATGTTCTTATAAACCCTGATGGATCTGTGGATTCACATCCATTTCCACTGATGAAGGCAGAAACTCCAATAACGGTGGGTGTGAAAGCATTTTGGAACTGAATCAATGGTGACCCAGTGTCACCCTTAAATAATAAACGGAATTGAGTTTATTAAACATCCACAACCTAAATAAAATCGTGAAACATCGAACATAACACTTACCAAGCAAGTTCCTTGGTTGTAGTTACCATCCACACAAACCATGTTGTCAGTAATTTGATTACCAAAGTACAGTCTACATTCCTCGTTCGAAAGTGCAGTTAGAGTTACTGCCTGGAGCTTATTACTAAGGCCTGCATCTTCTGCATTTTGAAGAAAATAATGAGCAATAAAGTTAAAAGTGTTGCAGATAATTACCGTCACTGGTTTGACCCCAACCGATTGCGGTGACCACAGCATAGCGTGTCAGATCTCGGGCTGGCAAAATAATGGGCTGAATGTAATCTAAACATAAATTTGACGTAATTTAAATAGCAAAACGTGGCCAATTTATACACCTGTAAATTCAACTGGCAAACGAAGTTCAATAAGGGCAATATCGTTATCCAAAGTGTCTACGTTATAGTCGGGGTGTACAACGTAGCTGTCAGTTGCCAGTCTTATAGCACTTGTAGAGTCTAGCTCGTGAGATCCTAGACGAATTTGAAATAGCAGAGCACTGTAAAATTAGCTAATACAGTCAAGTGCAGGGTTAATTTAGAATATTATTTACTCTACGACACAGCTTGCAGCAGTTAGAATCCACTTATTGTTCAAAAGAGCTCCTCCACAGAAGTAATTTCCAGAGGCGGTTTGCTTATAGATGGCGGCAACGAATGGGAACTGACTGGCAACAGCATCAGATCCACCAATAATGCGAGCTCCTGAAAGTATAACATTAGTTTAGTTTTCGGGATTTATACAAAACCTGTCACCTGGTCTTTGAACGGATGGAGACGTCCAAACCGAAGCGATCAGTACAGTGCACAGGAGAAGAACCTTCATCTTGAAACGGTGTGATGAATGTTTTAGCTGAGGTTTGCACTTATATTTCCTACTAGCCGGATCCTCGTTGCATTTATCTTCCTTATCCAGGCTTTTATTACTTTATGACAGCTCTTTTCCGTTGGTTTAATCTCACTGATAATCGCTTAATTGGAAGGAACAGTCAAAATTCGTAAATTTATTATCATATTAATCACTTGATTCAAAATCAGATTTGGGCGATTTCTAAGAATCGATATCTTAGAGTAGACATGTTTCAAAAATCACGTCGATCTGTAATGATGGAAAATTAGAACAGGGACTTATAATTATTACGTAAGTCTGTTTACTGTGTTGACCTTGTTTGATATTATTTTCGGCTAAATACAATTAGCGAAGTTATTAAGAGGAATTATTGCCGGTATAGTAGTAGTCTCGACAGTTATTAATAAATTTATTGTATTTTTACGTAAGCAATATTTTTTTATGGATTTTTATAGAATGTAAAACTAAGCCTTTAACAAATAAGATTATAAAAGGGAAATTAACCCAAAACAATAAAACCATGTCTTTACTTGCTCGACGGGATCTTTTTTAATCGTAAGCTTTCCGCTGCAACGAAAATAGATGATTAACTGTTTATGTACCAAAGGTCAAAGTATTAAAGTAAACCTTTTATACTATGGTAATATAAGCAGGGTCCCTACGAGGTTATTTATTAGCTTATCGCCTATGAAGTGTTCGCTTTCGAAAGCGAAAATCCCGCACGTTCGAATGACGCATGGGGTTTTTTGTTTCTTGCATTGTTACTGCTATTATCTGTGTATCAATTTTTTTTATTTATCAATTCTCAATGGTACACTAGAGTGTTTTTTTATTAACATTATGCTGCACTTGTGGGAATCAGCATATCCTTGCCGAAATAATGTTGATCGCGAAAACTCACTAGAAATACGGGCATAGCCTTGTTCTTTATCAAGGCATTCATATTTTTGGAGTAATTTTTAATACGTTTCCTATGATGGCTGGAAGAGAAATGCACTAAGTTATAAAGCGTGTTTTCGTAACATGATGCGTTCGAATCATTAAGAGTGGCGGAGTATTAATGATTTCAGGAAAACAAATGCTACTAGAATCTCCGAAAACAATACATAATGCCATTTAAAAAAACGTTTGTAGTAGACAAACACAAAAAAATATAGCATTTATAGCATGTTATTTAGCCTCTTAACTGTTACTGGTAATATATATATATGTATGTGTTTAAATGTACAGAGCTTATCACAAATAGAAGTTGGCACAATCAATTTTTTTAGTTTTTCAAAGAAGCGGAATAACTTGTAGTTTGTAATCTACGAAAAATTATGTATAAACCGATATTTTTCAATGTCGTAGTCTGCTGGAAATTTTCTAAAATTCAACACTTTTGGTGTTTACTCTGTTATAACATTTTTCTGTAAGATATTTAAAATTAATTCATTTATTTTTAACTTGTCTATATGCAATTAATGTGGAACGAACTGCTTGCTAAGTTAGAGTTTCACGCGCAACAGGGTCGATTCGGTTCCTGAAAAATCTATTGATATTTAAAACAATTCCGGCGCAACTTGACTGGACTCGACTCGTTAACTGAATATTCCTTGTTCCCGAAGGTGGCCTCTATTTAAACCCATACTTGCTTTTGGATGTGCGGCGATCGAGGTCTTACTGGAATACCCATCCTGAGTTTGGCTTCCAGGCTTTTCTTTAGCGAACGTCCGGCCGCCGTCATCGACGATGAGTCATCATGGCCGTACTTACTATAACCCATAGGCGTCGTACCGGGGCGGCGTATGGGTTTCTTTCGTAACATTATAAAAAAGAAATTAATCCAAAACAATAAAGCCTTGTCCTTATTTACTCGATGGCAGCCTTTTTAAAGTGAAAATAGATGACTAACTATTTATGTAGCAAAGGTCAAAGTAGTAAAGTAAACCTTCTATACTATGGTAATATAAGCAGGGTTCCTGCAAGGTTATTTATTAGCTTATCGGCTATGAAGTGTTTTTTTTATTTATCAATTCTCAACGGTACACTCGAGTGTTTTATTACTAGGATTATAATGCACTTGTTGCAATCAGTATGTCCTTGCTGAAATAATGTTGATCGGGAAAACTCATTAGAAGTATAGGCGTAGTCTTGATCAAACAATTCATACATATTTCTAGAGCAATTGTTAATCCGACAAGTTAATAGAACGTGTTTTCGTAATATGATGCGTTCTAATCATAGAAAGTGGCGGAGTATGGGTGATTTATGAATTTAGGAAAAGAACACTACAATCTCAAAGAAATACAAGTTAGATGTCGTAGACAAACAAAAAAAAAATATAGGTCGTCAAAACACATTTACGGAAGTTATTTAGCTTTGTTACTGGTATGATCTAAGTATATTTGTTTAAATGTACAGAGGTTATCACAAATAGTTCTCAAAATATTTTTTTTATTTTTCGTAGAAGTGGTTCGTAGTCTACAAAAATTGTCTATGGACCGAAATTTTTCAGTTTCGCAGGAAATTCTCTATAATTCAACGCTTTTGGTATTTGCTCATTGGTAACATTTTTCTGTAAAATGTTTGGCAGTTACTTACCATATTTTAAAATTGTTTCAATTATTTAAATAGGTAACCTGATAATCTTTTATGGAAGTTTTTGAAAATTACTTTCTCACTTTTCTCGGTAATTGGAGAAGTTTTCACAAAACTGAGTTCAAATTCACAAATAAAAAATTCAGTGTTTCCTAGAATTAGTTTCTATTTTAACAGTTTTTTTAAAGATACTTTCTCTTCTTATTTTCTGATCTGAGCAGATTAATTTTATCTTTTTCTGATGTGTCATGACCCCTAAAGTATGAAAAAATAGGTCTCCCTTTTCTCTCTCTCTCTCTCTCCATCTTTCTCTCTCTCTCTCTCTCTCTCTCTCGTCTATGTCGATATTAATTACAAATATTGTACTAACCCAAACTTCCCGCCTTTAAATTGACCTTGAAAAAGTTTGAAAGGCCCGCGAAAAATTCAAAAATTCAAAGTTCGCCATTGGCTGTGATCGTCTAACAAATGGGAACCTACGTTGTGTTTTTTTTTTTTTGAAAAGTGTCGAGAAAATGTTCTTTCATACAAGTGAGCAAATACTGCATGTGAGTTGAGAGCGTAAGAAATAACAGGCAAAATTGTTTTGGAGGGGCTACCACGGCACTCCTCTCGGGAGGAAAGAAGCTGCGGGATTCACTTCCCAGCTCAAAAACCCCCTATCGTATAGTCACGGGCATATTACATTTCAAACACTTTAAGATATTATATAAAAAAAAACACTCGCGAATTGCCAGACGTACACATATGAAAAATGAACAAACGCAAAATCCTATACATCTGTTTGGAATCAATGCAAATATTTGAATATCACAAATTTAATAAAAACAAAGCAAAATTTGAATTAAGTGATTGGATGCAAATACACAAGTTATTATGGGCGGTGGCGGCAGATTTTAAAGTTGCGGCAGTTAACAGGAGTACACCAAAAGTACCCCTGGGGCGTGCTAGAACAAGTTGAATTTGGGGCTACCGGTCTGGAGGTGTTCTCCCCCCACGACGGTGATTCTATCTATCGCAAAGCCTACCCGCACGCACCCCCATTACGATCATGCTGTGCAAAACTAGGCCATTAGGGTCGCCAGACCCGTAGGTGGATCTCGGCTATGGACAGAAGCCGAGAGCGTTACAACATCGGCGGCCGCCCCTGAATCTATCCAAACCTGTGGACTTTTACAGGTGACCCGATAAATCTCCCAACTCGGCTAGGAACCGAACTTCGCTTCTGCCACGTTTTCTGTGTTATTTAACCTCAATTCCATTTTTAAATATTCAATCTCTTATAACTCTGATATTAACAACAACTGAACAAGTGTTAGAGTTTCAACGAGCAATAAACAACATTTAAATTCGCCATACAATCTTGTGAAATTTTAAACAACAAATAAATCATATGGGAGATTTATGTGAGAAATTGGACATCAAACAATTTATATGATAGAAACATTCATCAACAAAGTATTTACAAAACAAAGCCAGGATTTATGAAACAAAAGATCTGGTGTGAAATAAACTTGTACAAATAGAAATATTATGTGAGGTTAAAACTGTAGAACATGAAATTTACGTTCAATTAAAATTACACAACAAATAAAATTACTGAAGTTAAAACTGAAATTGAGAAATCTTGCATGAGGTGGAAAATTGCTGAGTTAACAAAATTTACATGAGATTAATAATTACCACACTTTATCAAAGATTCAAACAAAGAGTTTACATTATGTCAAATTGTATCATGATCTAAGTGATTGGTTACTTCAAAAAAACAATTTACTTTGAGAGTTTAAAATACCGTGAACTGGTTACCCCAACAAAACACAGAATAAACAAACACAAAAATATCCAATCATCGCTCCGAGGGAAAAAGCGTCTAGGTGATGTAAATTTTAAATCGTTGCGAGGAAAAAGCGTCTCGGTGATGTAAGTTTTAAATCGTTGCGAGGAAAAAGCGTCTCGGTAATGTAAATTTTAAATCGTTGCGAGCAGAGCTGTTCAGTACTTCAAGTAAAAGTACTTGAAGTAATACTTCAAGTACTTTAAGTACTTCAAGTACTTTACTTGAAGTACTTTTATACAGGTACTTGGTACTTGGTACTTGAAGTATTTATAAAATGTACTTGAGTTTAGTACTTGATTTTGCCAAGTACTTTACTCCAAGTACTTCACTCAGTATTTTAAATACTCTTGAATTACTTGAAGTATGAAAGTGGAAATTTCAAATACTTTAGTCTCTATTTTACGAAGTTTTCACATCTCAAAATAGGGTCAGTTAAATACTTGAAGTTATTAATTCAATTATTTGATTAGATGTATTTTCATAGTAAAATCGTGTTTGTTTCCTGTTAGGTTATATTTTGATCTGTGATTGTGGATATCTTATCCACAATATGACGTACATTTCATAGGTACTTGCATAATGCCGATAGATAGGTAGGTTAGAAAATTAATGTCATAAATATGTCATTTGAG